AATGGACCAAATGACTTGTGACTTGGCTTAGACTTGCAAAACTTGACTTGCTACCACCTCTGCATTTATAGTATACAAAGACTGGCTTGTGTGGAACAAAAAAGGTAGAAGAATCACTTGCACTGTTTGTGAAATGGACCAAGTATTTGCTTCCATGAAGACCCATTTTTTTTTCTCATTTGCTGTCTATATTGACAGCTGCCTGAAAAATGAATTCCTATTGTCGTGTGTTTAGAGAAGCAATCACAAAAGTCTTGCTTAGAGCCCAATTTTAAGAAGCTGCTCTAACTAACATTAGCAGAAAACCATGCTTACTATAGCATCAAATTTTGCTAACCACAAACACAATGTCATTGCCTCGCTTGGCATGATTGTGCTAATGATTGCAGGTGCATAGAGTATTTCATTGTTGTGTCACTGCGTTAAGCAAATTTCTCCTCTGAGGTAAGTGTACCTTGTGTCATGCTTACTGTTTACAGTCTCCATGAAATACGCAGAGCCTCTGTCAGCATAAAATCATGAAATTGGCCCCAGAAACACAAGAGCCTTGCCGGATGGTTTCCTGGCTTTAAGTTTAACTCACATTCTGTAATCCTTGTAACCATATATTCAAAAACAAGTCCCAACTCCCCATATTGCTTTCTTAGGCCTAGAGGTTTAATGGAACGTTTTTTTTTCACTGTTGTCGTAGGTGGGCCTGCGACAGTTGGACATGTCCTTGTTGGGCCAGCTGTGGTCATTGTACGAATCCATCCAAGAGTACAAGGTGGTGGTAGAGACCATGTCCTGTATGTCTGACCGGGACAGCATGGATCTGGACAGCGAAGACCAGTCACTGAGCCCATTAAGTCCGGGAATGCTGTCTCCTACATCCATGGTGTGATTGGATAGAACCCTGTAGGATTTCTCACAGGTTGGTTTTGTCATTATTGGAGGTGCCTGTCACTTTTGCACCTGGTTGTTTGAAACGTACAAGAAGTGGATATTGACATTTAAAATGTGTTCTATCAAATATTCAAGTGCTAATTGTTTTGACTCATCTCAAAAGCACAAGTGTTTTTGTTTCAGTTTTTTCGCCCCAGTTTTGAAAAGTCAATGAAATTTTGAAATGGTCAGTAGGCTGAAATGCTGTAAGGTTTCATCGGTGTGTTGTATTGTGAAGGAAATTGCAGAGAAGTGAGGTGCTGTGTAAGTGCCTTGCGCAATGTTTTAGCCACAGATTTGCCGAGTTAAGCTTTATGCGCATTATGCCTCTCTTCACATTTTATACTGCTTGCCTTTTAAAAAGTTTTGTGCAATTTAGTGACTTTTTTAAGGTTAGTTCACGATGTTTGATTACATGTGCTTATAAACATATTTGTGGGAAAATGGGAAAATGAAGATGATTTGGGAAGGTGAAAAAATGATTGATAATGTTTACAAGTGTGCCCCGAGAGACTGAGAATCACAGAGACCATTGCGGTTTGGTCCCCAAAATATCTATTTTTCAACACCTGTGCAGTCCCCAATGAAGTATGCGACTCTTAGTGGAGAGCAGGTGTTCAACAAACATTTGTTCAGATCGTCATGGGGAAGGAAGCTTGCCTTTTGTCTCTGAGGTCACAGTGTAAGGATCAGTGTAAGCGGAATTTGCAAGTGCATTTGCCATTAAGGCCCTGCCTTTTACCCTCCGATCAAAGTCAAAGAGAGTGCATAAGAACAAGCGTGTGGAATTTACCTTTTCAAGTGCCACGCCTTCATTTATTGATTAATTTATGTTTGTAGCTAAGTCCAGGTTGAAAGTAACATTGTTAACACTTGGGTAATCATGAAGGGTTGGGGGCATGACTACATCTTCATTTAAGCGGACACCAAGTGCCTGTAGATTTTTGTTGTTGCCTATTAACGTCTAACAGAAACCTGTGTGTGCTTTTGAAGCAGCATTAACTTTATATCCATGGTGTATGGAGGAAGACGGCAGAGCACTGATCCAAAATTGTGTTTGCTGGCCCAACTATGAATGTGTTAGCAACATATTGGAATAAGTGTATGACTGAAAGCAATTAAATTGTGCTGTTTTACTAAGAAATGAAATACAATTGAAAAACATATACTTGCATGCAGGGTTAACCTTACTTGAGTAAAGTGTGATGCTAGTGTGTGTTAGTATTTTTATAAAGCATTGCTGTGCTGTAGTTAATGTAATTACACACAGAGTACTATTTGTGTGCTATGTTTGAGCTTCGTGCAATTGACCAGTACTTCTCACTAAGATGTCAGAATTGTAGAGGATTTTTTGTACTTATTAGTGCCTCAGTGTCATTGACCCAGCAAATCTACTGAATGTTTGGTGAGTAATGAGGTTAACTTGGAGGAATATTTTAGTAAGTGTGAAGGTTTGCGGTAGCACCATGCAAGGATATCTCTTTCTGAGCATGTGTGGTTCTGAGAAGAACCGGAATATTTTAGGTAACTTATTTTGCTATTTTAAATGGAGGATTGGTTTATATATTATGCTTTAGGTCTCTGAAATGTAGTTGTACATTGAAACTGGTTTTTAAAAAATATTTTTTGTATAATGAGTCAAGATGTCATGTTTTTCCTGTGTGTTTGTTTTATATGTGTAATTTGAAGGCTGCTTTATGCAGAAGATGAAGTCAAAGAAACTTCCCAGTATTGTTTGTGAAATAAAGAATGTTAAGATTTTCTTCTTTTGTCTCCCCTGCACTCTTTTTGCCTTAAGATCATAGTTCTTTCAACTGAAGTACATGTTGCCATGGTGTGTGCATTATCTGGTGAATAACTGTTTGTGGCTGAGCTTTACAACTTTGCTAAATGGAGACAAAAAGCAAATGTTTTGTATTTCATTAGGTTTATCCCTGAAGCACTTAAAATGACTTTAACTTCAAATTGTACTCGTTCATTGATGTGTATTGTACTACGGTTGAATAGGCAAAACAATTCAAGGGTTTGATTAAGGCCAAATTTGAAATCCTTACTTTCACTCTGATCCAAAAACATGTTTCAATATGACCCTTTCTAGAATTCGGTTGTGTGCAATTAAGTTTAAAATGCTAAAGCTACTTGTTTTTTAATGGAATGTTAGAATTGTATAAGCAATTTGATATTCTGCCAGCAATTTGATACTGTACATGCATAGCAAGTAGAGTTTTATCGTCAGAAATGAATTAAATCTGACCCAGGGTTGAGTTCAACACTACTATCATTGATTTAAGTAACAAAGGACAGCGTAGGTCTGAAATGCCCTGTATAGTCCTTCAGCAGTTCAAAAGTTGTTTTGCCTTTGGTAAAATCCAGTTATTTATCAGCTTACATTTAAATGATTTGAGTTAGTTGAAGATAAACTCGTCTTTATTTCCTGTATGTTGTTGAATTTGGAGAAATATGTAAATGTACATTGAAAATGAACAAATGCACAAAAGATATCAAACTTTTCGAACAAATTTGAAAAAGACGAATAGTTACCAGTAGTAGATATTAGCAATAGTTTTGAATCTTTTTTTTGGGGGGGGGGATACAGTCGTCTTGATTTGCCAAAATACAACACTACTCTAAATGAAACGGGGATATCTCCCCTGATGTACAGTGATCCTGTCTATACTGGTACCTATTATCCTCAAAATAGCGTAAAAACACCGCCTGGATTTTGGTTCAGGGGGGATAGTTAAGAAGTAGTTTGTGTACGCCATTCCATGTGTGCAATTTAATGGGCCTTTTCCCATTAAATATGCAAATGCGCACTTCTGCCACTGGTTGGCAAGCATAGCCGTCAACACCGTCAGCAGTGTAGGAGAGCTGCCCTAATCATAACCTGGTGCGTGGAAGGTCAAACAAAACCGTATCACAGCCTTTGTCTAATACTTTAGCATGTTTTTCTCAAAAATGAGTGAAGTTTTCAGTGTCCCGAGGATGGAAAGTAACAATTCCTTGTCTTTAAGTTTGGCACTCATGTCAAACCATACTAGTGCAGAAACGGCATGTATGTGCTCATAGTTGCGTACACATAGAGATTTGTATTGTTACATTAGTGATTTAAGCAACTTTGCCAACCAGTGGTACTAATGCAAATGTGCCTGCCTTATTTGCCTATTTCATGGGAAAGGTCCATTGTGAATGCCAAGTTTGTGTCACTTGTATTATTTGGTCTTGCCAGTGGTTATATACATGTACATGTATTTCTACTTCTATAAGCACATTGTATTTTTTAAGGTACTGTTCGTGTCTTTATCATGTTGCCATGTTTTGCTTTAAATAGTACTACTTGCTATCTTGTTGAATAAAGGTACTGTTGAAGGCATGTTTGTAACTTTTTAGAAAGCAGAATTTAGATGGTAGTTGTCAACTTGTTTTGTTTCGGTGTGGATCTCTGTTTTGGTTATTTTCCCACAGATTAGACAAACATAAAACTTTTGACAAAGTTAACTAGGATGGTTTGCTCTCAAAAAGCTGGAAAATGAACAAGTCACCTCCCTCGTTGGTGTCAAAGATGAGAAGGGGGAAAAAACACCCACAAACGATGAATACGTTGATTTATACAAAAGTCATTTGTTTAATATCTGCAATCCTGTAACTACAACCCATTAACTATTTTCAGAATTATCTCTGCCGAGAGATGTACCTGCATTTTACAGGACCACAAGTGCATGAGAAGTTCAACCCGAAAACAGCTTCTGGACACTTTTCTCACACATTTGGTCCAATGCACTTGAGCTGGGTACTTCAAAAAATTCAGTCAAATCACTCTTGAAAGATACAATTATTACAAAAAGAAGGAACAGAGACAGTACAATTAATTTTCATACAATACATTGTCTTTATAGCAACTAGAAAACTGGGGACAAAATGCCCGGGAATAAATAAAAATGGAAAAAAAATTGTTTTCAAAACAAATTTGCCCAATGTATTCAGTGTATCACACTGCACTGGGAACATTTGGTCCATGCCTTTAAGTAAGTGATCAAACAGCAATTCAAAAGTTTTGTAAATATCAAAGATTCCTCAATGCCCCGTTATCAAAAAGGTCATGCTGTAACTCCTGAACACGCTTATCAAAAATACGAAATTCAAATGTATTGCCTCACTGCTATGCAATGTCACACCATCAACTGCTCTGGCATATTACCCTTATCATCACTGCACTCATCGACACTACATGTCATTTGATTAACTTTTATATTTGCTGTAACCCAGATAAATGATGGGAGAAATACCCGAATCAAAAACTTGAGGTTACAAAGCAGTCACAAATCGGAGATACTCCATGTGTATGAAGTACCCCTGATACTCAATTACCATTCAAATTTATATCTGCATTTCTTTCTCATTCTAGTCTCCACTGTATCAAAATCGTGCATTCCATGGGTTTACATTTTCTACTCACTTGATGTGATGATCACAGGTAGCAATCGTGCAAAACTCAATATTTGTTCACCCACAGGTAAATTTTTTTTTTTTTTTAGGATTTTCACTGAAAATCTTTACATTTGACCGTCTTATACACACACAATTTCAGCTTGGAAAAAAAAGGTTTCATTTTCTGTGACCAGCAATTAAACAGCATAATTATTCCTCTATTAAACTGACTGCAAGAAATATACTTTCTGTAAAAATAACAGTGCATTTCAAGGAAATGGTCTGACACTTAGAATCATTTGGTTCATTTGTAAACGAAGGAATGATTTGCATTTCCAAAATAGACTTTGTGTGTTGAATTTCTTTTCAAACGCTGATCGATTTAAATTAATGTAAAAATATTGAGTTGACTTTTTCTAATTGAAGGCTTTACTCCTTTAAAAAGCAACAGCGTTCATTTGTTAAAACATAAAACATGTTTGTATGTTTTCATCAACATAAATTTAACCAGATTTACAAAACTATGCCACCATTTTCTTTTCTCTTCTGGTGAATATCCAACAGAGTCAAATCTTTTATCTAGTGGCGGCGCCACAGGCATCCTTTGTGCCCCAATTTCTTTATTTTGACCCAGTCTCCCCCCCCCCGAGATTTTTTTTTTAAATGTTCAGAGGTAACAATCATATTTTTATGCTGTTTAACATTCTGTATGGATGGGGGAATGCCATTCACCACTGTGTTGGTTGTGGTTGTTTTACTTGCACTTTCTGTTTTACTGATTGCCCTCGAGAATGGGAAATGAACCATCCTCCCACACACCTTTCTTTGCCCCTCCCATTATATTGCTTGCCCCTCCAGTTCTAAGAGTACGGTGCTGCCACTGCATTTTAATACATCACAGAGGTCTCCTGGTGTTTGTTTCTAAAACAACAGGAACACATCAAAAAGCAAAAATGACACATCTCACTGCCGTTGGGCCAAACTGCCTGCAGTAAAAAAAACGCTGAAAGTAGATTGAAAAATTATAAAAGATTTGAATACGAACAGTTGTGGCTGTTTCAGAAATCTATCAATATCTATCAATAAGAATTTACTTGAGGAAAGCTCAATGAGACCATCTTCAACAAAGCAGAGGGGTGGTTGTGGTCACTTTTCAATACAAGAAAGAAGAAACCTTAAAAATTAAGTCCAATCTTAAAATGAAAAGTTTATGCACAAGATAAAAAAGGAATAAAACAATTTAGTTTTTCCGTTTTGATAAATTAATAATATAGAATATGAACAAGCTTAACTTACATATATATAATCTGAATAGAACACTCCATTTACACTTTACAATATTTACAGCTGCTGTTTTTCGCTACTTGCAGTATCACAGACTTGGTCATTTGCAACATGTGACTGGTCATATGATCAGTCTCATGACAAGTGGTGCACCTTGCCATTTGCATTCTATTTACCAATTAGTCACTTGGGAAGCTGTGCAGGAGCAAATCCGGACAATGTGTTGTCCGAGTGACAGGTTGCTTCCTGTTAATGGTCTCTGCTTCTAAAGCCACCTTTCCAAATGAACAAATTTGGGTCTGCACAGTATGCATATTCATTTCATGATTTTCATAATGTGAACACTTTGTAAATTTGCACATGTGGACCTAAAGCGCACTGAAAATGTTTCGCACATTGATCTCTGGCTATCAATTTCTGCATGATTTACATGCATGCCACTGTGACATGTAACAAAAACAACGTAAACCAGTCGCATGCTGCGATGCGCTGGTGGCCTCAGGGAGGCATCGCTGCTATGACAAGATGTGAAGTGCAAGGTGCCCCAGATGTACAGACATCTTGTCATCATCAACGTCATCTTGATGCACTACAAAAATAATGACAGGATGACAAGGGCCCATTCGACTGGGCAAAACAGAGCACCAACGAATGTTTCTATAATGTATTACTATTGGCGACCAGTTCTCCATGAGTGATTCTTGCTTAGTAAGTGATTGTTAGCTGAGCAGTGCTCTCCGCTTAATTGGCTTTGTAACCTGGGGCTAGATGTGGCCGAGGATTAGGGTTCCAAGCAGGCAATATGCTGTTTAGATTGGAAGCTCCACGCCCGCCTCTGTTAAGCATACCAGCAGCAATCCAGCCAGCAATAGGGCCTTCAGTGGCCATTTTCAAATATCCACATTTTCACCTTGATTCATCCATGGTCACCAGGTACTGGCCAAAGCTTTCAGCAGTAGATTGCAGCTTGCTGGTCCAGCGTGTCTGCCAATCCCTGGCACGAAGAGCCTCTTCCTTCTTCACACTGTTTCAGCACACTGTAAGCTCAACATGTGAGGCGTTCTTTTTAGTTCTTTCGTGCATTTCCAGTCTGTTCCTTTGTGCTTCCTGCGTTTCGGCTTTGTAGATGTCCATCACGATGCGGGCCTGGTCTTTCTGCGCCCACTGCTTGACGGGGTGGTCAGTGTCCGAGTCAGCGTCCTGCTTGACCAGTGCTGCGGTCACCTGGGGGTCTTCGTTGACCTGGACCTCTTTGGCCCGGGCACGGTTATCTCTCCTGTTAGAGTTTGGGACAGCCTTCAGGTTGGCCGGCAAGTCCTGTGCACTGCTGCCTGCGGCAGGCTGGTTTAGGGTGTTGCTTTGGGACAGGGCTGCAGGCTGCGGCTGCTCGACATCGGGCTTGGTGATATAGTGGAAGCGTGCCCAGAGCAGGATGCCACCCACCAACACCACAAGGACAATCCCGGTGAGGCACCCCAGGAGCCAGATGACACCAGGGCCTGAGGGAGGTTGGGTTGGAGAGAAGGTAAACTAAAGTTGAAATAGTCACATGTCCAACACTGATGTTGGATGACTAAGCAAGAATGACTCAAACTCAGATGAACCCCTCCTTTTTTGTCAGGAACCTTCCTGAATCCCCCAAATCCTCTCCAGTGTGTCCAATCGCATATTCTGTTTCCTCAACACTATTAACAGGGTTCAAAGCAAAATGCTGACTGACTCAATCAATTGTTTTAATGCTCTCCACAATGATTGGATACTGAAAATTCTGGTTGTATACGGTGAATGAACAAAATTTAAGTAATAGATACTGCCTTCTCGTCAAAAATACCAAAAGAAACAAGATAAGCAGATGATTAAATGCTTTTAAGTTAAAAAGCTTACTTATTTGCAGAGTGTCCACAGTAAAGTTCAAAAGAGGATTTAGTGAGGAATCCCTTTCGAGTTTCTAGAACACATCTAAGTAAAGGGCTGTATGAGGCTACATTGAAATTTCTTGGCTAAGTGACCGGCTTCTGTAGGCATGTGTTTCATTTCAAGCCCTGGCCACGTAATTCAGTCGCACGTAGAGAAAAAGGAGAAGGCTTCAAATCTGTGCATGACGCCAGACTCACCCTGTTTGCTTGGTTCCTCCGGCCCCCCTTTGGTGTGTCTGTTAACCGTAGTGATGGCCACCGTGATGGAGCTACTGGTGGAGGGTTGTCCAAGATGCTCTATGAGGGCATCCACAATCTCCTCAGCCAACCCACTGCCTCCTGGTGTATCCACCCACTAGAGCCAAGATACAACACCATTTCAGATGCTTAGAGTACTAAACTTGACTTTAATACAGAGGGTAGACATTGATTGAACAGTGGTGTCAGCAATACCGTAAGTTCCTTATGACAGGCCAGCCAGAAAAAGCCAATTTTGTATACATGTTAAAAGAGATGTAAAAGTCAAGGGAGGTATCCATGGGTACCACTATTTTTTTATCTGGTGATTTTCAGTGCATTCAGAGAAAGAGGGAATCTGTGTTAAGATAAGAGGAGTTACTCATCATCCAGTTAAGCTGCTCGTCATAACAAGAACCAGAGAAAAAAACGGTATGTAAAGTCAAGTACCAGATCAGGGGAACCATATCATAACATATGTGCCAATTTTATACAGGACAGAGCAACCGGCTGACAGTCGGTGTCCAACACTCTTATGGATAACAATGCCTTGACCTTGTTTCTTACCAGTGAGACGTATACATCATAGTAGTCTGGCTTGTCTATCGTTGCACCAGCAGAGCACATCAGTCTTACAGCGTGTTGTCTGAAGTGGGCCTGCAGACCTGCAATCTGCCGAAGGTGTCGACAAATATGCTCCACGGACACCCCCTGGAACAGCACGTGACGATGTTGACAGAAACTCATTAACAGCTACCAATATAGGAGTAATTTGGAATAGTCACTTCTGCCCTTCAAAGATGTCATTTCACAAGCTCTTAGTAACGTCTGAAAGCATTTCAGAACACAAATTCAGAAATGTGCTTGGGTGGGACTCGAACCCATGACCTCCTGCTTACTAGTGCGGCTGTTCCAGCTTCAGTGTTTACCAACTGAATTTTTCAGGGTCAGCCAACCAAATCAAACCCAATACAGCAGCAAGTACACTAGCAAACAGAAACGTCCTGTGAACAATCTGTGCTGTAATATTTATGTCAGAAAAAAAGGGAACTTCAATCCTGCATCAATTTGAATGATGTTGGGAAAAAAAAAGAAATACCATAACACGGAAAAGGTGGCTGTATGCTAATTGATGTGACATGTGACACTGCAGAATGTTCCAAATTAGTGGTTAACTTTCCTTTTGTTGACTGGGAAAAGAGGAATTTGAAGAATGTCACAATTTGGACAAAATATATATATAAATACTTGGTTAGTCATTTCTCACTAATTAAGTGCCTGTCACAGAGATCAGGCATGCAATTTGGACTTCAGAAAAAAGAGAGGAAATTCTGATCTTTACAAGACTTTGTACAGTGTTTTTCAATTTCCAATAGCACAAGTGTGAAGTGAAAAAGGAGAAAATCAACTGATCCTCGGAATAGTTGCATTCCTGAGAGATGATATGCACCTAAGATCAAACAGCTACTAGGCTCAGCTCTCCATGGGCAGCTCTCCACATGTAGATCATTTTTCTTCTCATGCTTGCTTCCATCCCCTTTCTTCACAAACGAAACTAACTTACAGCTGGGAGCTTGGATGTCTGGAATGTCAGCGTGAACGCGGCACAGCTCCTGGGCGGCTGCTTGCCCGTCCCGTCCCACTGGCACACGCTGTCCCTGTCCTTTCCCGGTGCGCTGGCATCTGTGGGGCCCTCGCTCCCTGGCAAGCACAGCCCCCAGGGCCGGCAGGGAGGGGTCAGGCAGTCACTGTCGTCCAGGAGCTCGCAGGACTCGTCCAGGTTGCAGGCGGGTTGGCTGCTGGTCTCGTTGCCCTCTCTAGCCACGCAGGTTCGCGGGCCACACCACACCTGCTCAAAAGAACAAGCACGCAGAAAGAAGAATGACCAGAAAAAGGCAACGCTACATTCAGAGGGTACATGCAAGTGATTATTCAACTAGAGTTTTGGGGCTCAAACACTCAACACATGATTTTACTAGTGACAGACCCTTTAATCCATGCCACAGATGTCGTTCGATCATGCATGTACACATGTGCTGGTACTGTACACATTGTACATTTTGGTCACGCATTGACCGTGGTGACTGCAGTCAATGCACTGCATGATGAAACAGTGTTCATTTGACAAATTCTCAGTGTTGCATCGCCAAAGAGGAAACACAAACTCGAAGGCAAATTTGCCAGCCACTATTACTGTGCAAAGCCATGAAAAAATGGATTGTTGAGGGTCATAATTTGTCTGCAGATTGACCTAGCCTGTGCACTGTCCAGGCACTCAGGAACGTCCCTTGGCCCATAAATTTTTGTGAGACAAATTACACAAGCTGGGCTTTGGTGTGTTAAATTTAAACAACGTTTTTCTTGAATTTCCCCAAAGCAGTGGCTCAAAAAATGGAACAGGTTCTTGAAATGATACACAAAGCAAATCACAGATCCCAAAATCTGCAAATTTTGACAAACTGCAATACATGCAAATCCTATACACTGCCTTGAAACCAGTGACACAACATATATTTAAGCTGTGGGATTTGTTTGTGGTTAGCTCAAGTTTTCCTTGCTATAGGTCGCACAACATAGCATTGTGCCTAATGGATATCACTTCTTGAATCAGTCTGACAGACTGTCCTCATAATTTTGCAATACTAAAATGTACATGTACATTGTGGCTTCCACGTTTTGCCTATTCAGACATGCAACTTAATTTTTCAACATGTAATTCCTAAAATCCCTCAACAGAAGATGAAATAAAACAACTTAAAGCATTCAAGCTGCACAAGACTTTAAGAGTGCTTTTCATTTTGATTGTCATACCAGTACCTCTGTCTTGGATACTGTCCGTTTATTGGCTTAGAACGATCACATGACAGGGTGACATATCTGCATATCACACTCACCATGAGACATTTCATTCTACCAATGGTGCGTGCACGCTCACGTGTGAAACAAAAGAGCTTTTAGAAGTTCGAGAACAAACATTTGCAGTCCTTCAGTCAGTTTCGCATGGTACCCATGATACGTTTTGTGCATAGGCTACCAGGGAATTCAATCAATGATAGTGCTCGTATAACAGACTCGTTCCCATCCCCGCAGCATATAAGGTAATTCAAAGACCGCTAACGAGACTATATAAATGTACTCACTGGTACCCGCACTAGTTTTACGTTAGAGTTTACACAATTAATGAAAGTGAGAGGACAGTACATTTGCTAACGATATAGTTTACATCTGTCATGTTAACTGTACAGTTTTACAGTCTGACAGTAGGCCCATCGTTTTCTGAAATACAGAGCTTGTTTCTTTTGAGAGATTCCCGAAGACAGAGGTATGACAAAACAATTGTTGACTAATGAGGTGTGGGATATGACGTCTTGAACACCCGAGGCAAAGCCGAGGGCGCTATGCATGCCCTCGGGTGTTCAAGACATCATATCCCACACCACAGCGGTCAGCAATCGTTAAATGTTGTTGGCAGAAGATACAAAAAAAAAAAAGAAATACAAACACAAACAGAAAATCAATAGATATGAGACTGTTAAAGTAATGGGATTTCAAATGATGCACTTACATGCTGATTTGACGGGTTAGGTTTTCCGAATTTGTGCCAATCAATCACATGGTAACTTTTGTAAATAGGTTTATGTATTTTGGCTCTATTTATTCTGAGAATTGCTTTGTTTCTTGGTTTCCTTCCTGATACTTGTTCGACTGAATTTCCTTTCACAACTACAGAGTATGTGGTTGAGGTATAATTTTTGCAGAGTCTGTCCGAATTGCAGACAGCATTTAGCATACCTTGCTGCACTGGACCAAGCCTTGCTCACAGTGACAGGTGTTACAGTCTTCCTTCCAGGTTTCCCCTTGGCTGTAGACCCGCCGGTCAACCACACAGGTGGGGACGACTCCGATCACTGGATGACAAGCAATTGTGGAATCAAAGAACAGTTCATTTTAACAGCACGGGGTTAGACAAAATAGCAGGTCGGAAGTGAGGGCTGTTCACACACAAACCTCTGGTAGGATCTGCTTCCTCTGTACAAGACCTGCGATATGGGTGATTCACATTTCAGTGCACCACCAAGAGGTTGCCAAGGAGAAGCTTTCTTTGCAGTGCACTGTGGGACAATGGTCAACCAAACTCAATTTGCCAGCCATGCCGTGCGCAAGGAACTTGTTTGTCTGGGACAAAGATTTGAAAGTGGGTTTTTTTGAGTATCGGTGTAGGGGGTGGTTTTTTGAAAGGTAAGGAATGCCCCAATCAATGCCTCTCTGTGACAAACTCTTGGTAGCATGCTGTATTGTGAATTGCCTGTATTAAGGTGGTTTTGGTTGATATGCAGACACACGAAACTTTTGGAAACTGGACACCATAGAAATGTTCTTGAATAGTGAATGGAACATAGTGACGAAGCCTAAAACAAGATTCTTCAGCCCTTTTAACATCATCATTTCAAATCATTAACAGTGTTGAAGTCGAGACCATCACAAGACCAGACACAAGTAACAGGGTGAACAGTGACAAAGGAATGCTTTTGTTGCAATTCCTTTGAACATTTAAACTTGTAGTTTCCCAGTCCTCTAGTTATGCCACAACTTATCTAGCAAGGGACGTGGCCCTGTTGTGAAGGAAAAAGATCGGAAGTTTGACACCCCAGACCAAACAGTTTCCTCACCTTCTGAACAGGTAGCACCGCTACGGCCTGGTGGGCATGTGCAGGTGAAGGATCCTATGCCATCTATGCAGGTGCTACCGTAGGCACAAGGGTTGGAGGCGCACTCATTAAGGTCTGGAAAGGAGACAATAAAAAAATTCATCCAATAAAGCACAGTAAAAACTTTCAGTTCTCTTTCTTCGAGCCTGTGTAGATGATGCTGTCTGGGTGGTAATGGGCACTGTCAAAACCTTGGAAGGCATGAAGTTGGAATGCAGGTAACACATAGACATTACAGGCTCACGCTGGGGAAGAGAAAGAATGGAAGATTTTGAAGGGCAAACAGGTGAACTAGGTCATATTGAAAAAAAAAGGATTAGCTCAGACAGGAGAGCACTGGTGCACTGTTCCAGAGGTCAAAGGTTCACATCCCACCCCATTTAACAGTCCTAATTCCTCCACATTTCAACCAATGTTGTATGCACATTACTCAGCCACAGCTGGGAATGACGTGCATGCCAACGGAAGCCACTGCGTGATGGCCACATCCCACAGATGGGGCGTTACTGTGGGATGAAACAGCGTCATTCACACGTGGCCTTACCTCAAGAGAAGGCGATGCAGTTCAAAGAAACATGAAGGGACGAATCAGGTGGAAGAGCTGAGGGGATTTGAGGCTGAAGACAGCTTGTAATTGACAGGGCCAAAACCTAGTGGCACTACTCATCAGGAAATGTCACTTAGCATACCAAACTGCTCAGCCGACTTTGGCTCATGGCCTGCTGCAACTGGTACTTGTCAGAGGAAAATCTGGCTGAAGACCACGTCTGTGTTGATTTTATACTTGACGGCTTCAGTACAGCCTTGAAAATAAGCCTTGGTTGCTAGAATATGCATCTTTAATTACTAGTTTTTGCTTGGAAACAATTTTTCGAGGGAAAAAAAAAAGAACTAAATTGGGCTAAAAATTTCAAAGTGGATAAAAGGACAGGTTCACTTTGGAGGGCAGAAGCTGAGACCACAACCCCAAATTACTTACTTATGCGGCAGTCAGGTCCGGTGAAACCGTCTGCACATTGGCAGAGAAACCAGTTGATACCATCAACACAACGTCCTCCATTGAAGCAGGGATTCCGGCTACAGTCATCGGTGTCTTGAAGGAAACAAAGAAAGAAATCACCAATTTTGGTCTTAAAATTCTTCGTCCTAGTCCTGCTACCAGTCAAATGTACAGTAAAATAAAAAAGCAGTCCTGAACTCCTCCAAGTTTTCACTCACTCTTTTCACAGAGTTGTCCTTCAAATCCCTCTCGGCAGACACAGATGAAGGAGTCACCGTTGGGAATACACGTTGCTCCATTATGGCACCTGTTAGCTGCGCACCTGTTACTGGTTGCTGTAGAAACAGGGAAATGAAAATAGTAGATGTTATCTTCGTGGTGAAGTCTACAGGTGTTTTAACGTGACCCACACAGCAGAAACTTTAGAGTGAGTGGTGTTGGGAGGAAAAATATTCTTTCTGGTTTTAAGTCCCACCACAGACATCCATGATCCCTTCATCTGTAATAAATGCTTTTATGTTTTGCACAACACTTTAACTTTTATTCCTCTGTTTATTTTTGTATTAAGGGAGTAACGTGATGACCTAGCTGGTAGTGATTGGACTGTTTCTTGGGAGCTGTTTTTCTTCCTTCTCAAAATTTATTACTTTTGAATACAATTTTTTTACTGAAAGTTTCAGTTTTCAAGCACAAGAAAACTGCCTTTTTCAAAACCCAGGTTTGCAAAATGTTTTGGCCTTCTGCACATGATATTTGCTTCATCATCAAAAATTTAGTTTAAAACCCAACCTGTTTCTAAATAAACTTTACTCGAAGATTCAACTTAAACCATCACCTCTACATGATTGTCAGAGTAGGTAGCATTATATAGCACCGCTAATACCTCAATATTGTACCTAACGAGTTTGATGTCACTCTGCCAAAAATTGATGCACAAAACAATACTTCTCATTGTAATGTATAAATATGCAAAATAAAAGAAAGACATGCAACAACGAAAAATAATGTAAATAAGTCACCACAAATCGGACAAAATGTGTCTTTATCATGGACTCGATAAGAGCAATGTAAATGCTGTTCTCTGGACACAGACAGAAATCTTCAAATGGATATGGTCAAACCATTGATCCAGCTTTTCCTACTCACAGATCAATTACTTAGGGCAAACACTCTGATCTTCTCCAAAAGGGACAAAGATGGGCCTATAAGTACCATTTGGACCCTATTCCCTAAGCTGTTTATCTTTAATTGCAACTTAAGGGCTAATCCCATTCAACTGACTATTGATCTGGCTGGCACAGCCCAGATTATCCCCCAGTGAGTGGTTTTTAACTGTTAACTCTTGGTATTTAAGCTTCACACTTTCCCACAAAGGGCAATAAGGGGAGGCAGTGTACCCCCCCTCACTGAAGGTCACCATGGTTAAAATTTTTTTCTTCTCCTGGGGAAATGTTTGGCGTCAAAATGTTGGATTAGCTGCATCATTGGCTGGGGCTCAATATAAGCTCTGTGGGAAAATGCCGATAAAAACAGAAATTCTACAAAACTCTTGTTTGACCGAATATCACGAAAAAAAAAACTGCTGATAAAGGCATTTCTGTTGTAATGTGCAGAGTGGCTTTATTTTTTATTGCTTTATTTCTTTCTAGCTTATGACTTAGAGAGCAGAAACAATCAACCAAACAGAATTTGAGACTGCCAAGGGTGGTCCACTTGTTAGATTGAGTAAACCTCACACCTGTACCCTCAACCCGGCTTATGTGTACATTGAAATTTAAAGGTTACAGAATTCTGGCCTTATATGCTTCAAAATTTAAAAAAAAAAACCTTGATGGCCCTATAGGGAGGAGAATTATTGCCTTTGACCCATTGTCTGAAAGTGACGACCTTGGTCTAGCCACTTTTCACCATGAAATCTTAGCACTTGACTTACAGAGCTGGCATGAGTTTCCCTCCCAGCCGCTTGGGCAGATGCAGGTGAACGAGTGCTCCAAGTCATAGCAGGTACCCCCATTGAGGCATGTGTTGACATCACATTGGTTGTCTCCTGAAACAAGGACAAGGTATTTCCATGCATTCAAAGTTCCAAAGACTACGTCACCCACTCCAACATGTTCAACATATTGGAGTGGTGACAGAGATGTTACCTGTGTGCATCTACCATACTTTTCCCTATTCCTGGTGGTTTTGTTTCTTACATTCACAGAAGTGTTATTTACGGAAAAGGTGGATATTTTTCTATGTTCTCCCAGTCCAAAGATGAAATTTGAATGACTTTAAAGTCCTCTCAATGTACTCCATTCAAGTACAGGTACAAAAATAACCTCTGAGTCCTTTGAAAGACTAGATATGAAAAATAGAACTGGAGTCCTCAATGAACTTGAGATTACCTGTACTCATACTCAAGCAATTTTATACACACTTACGAAAATGTACTCAGGCTTGCATAACAATTCATGTATTAGCTCTTACTCATGGTAAATGCATGAGTGAAGCAGAAATCATACTCATGGCCTTACTCATGGAGATGTACGTGACTGCAACACTGAGTCACAGAACAAAGTTAAGACCCAGGGCTGTTGTGAGTCCAGATATACAAGCGGCCACTTACGTGAGTTGCATGTCTTGCCCTTCCATCCTTGGGGACACTGACATGCGAAATCAGCATGCATGTCAATACATGTGCCATTGTTTCTGCACGGTGACAGTGCACAGTCATCTACATCTAGAATTGGACCGACGAGAAACAGGTCAGCATGATTCTTCAGGTACAAGCTCCTTAATTCTTTTGCCAATTTTGCTGCTGAGATAGAAACTGGTCTATTTATAAGATCATCGGGAGAAAGATTGTCGATATCTTTAATTACAGCGAGTTTAAAATTTGTGTCGCATTTTCTCAGACAATTCAGACCGCAGAAGAGCCATGTTTTGATGGGACAGACTAACTTGCTGTTTGGGTCAATAGCCCCCAAATTCTACCTGACCTTCGGATGACAGAGTTTAACCCACTGCATAAGGCAGTTCAGCCCCTCCAGCCTCCCCACACACACATATGCACACAAAATCTGGATGTTTCCACTGAAAGACACAACACCTTAATGTGTCCTCTGGGGATAGAAATGTCCATTTCTCACAGAATGAAGGCATCTAATTTCTTGCTTGGGACCTTTGGACTGCAATTTCAGCAAGGGATTTTCAGCACTGAGGAAACAAATGTATGAAGCGTCAAACCCATAACACCAATCAACGTAGAGTCACGAGTCAAAGGACCAGACTTAGTGGGCACTCACTGAGTGATGTGTCGGCAGCTTCGGTAGAAACTAAGCTGCCAGAAATTTATTAGACAAAGGAAAAAATCTGGGCCTAGTTTATGACCAGAACCACAGATGAAATGCACTGTGGCCTCATGAGATGGAGAGAGTTCACACTGTAGCAGTTAGGCCCACAGAAATGAACTACATGGAACCCTTGATTTCCGAAGCAAAAGAGGTCACAAGCAGCAGAGTAAGCCCTTTTTGGAGGGTGTAAAACACCTGCATTTGTTATCAGAAGAGTTAACATTAGGGAGGCTTTGAGGACAGACAGAATTGGGGATAGGAGTGTGTCTACTCACTGTGTTGGCAAAGTGTTCCTTCCCACCCGTCTGGGCAGATACAGCTGAATAAGTCTAGGCCATCCACGCACACCCCGTCATTCTGACAGGGATCACTCTCGCAGTCGTTGATATCTACAAGGAATGTCAATCATGTTCATTAGAGAGTTCTGATGATGAGACGAGCTCAGGGTTTTTACTTTTTGCTCGTATGCACTTGCTGTCTGCAAATTTACAATTCTTAAGGCTGACATGCATGCATTTCACTAATGTTACACTCAGAGGCTGCAGTCAAATTGAGTATTTTGTGGCAAGGGCTTTTGCTTGTACAATCTGCATAGTACACAGAATAGCCGCAGCCCCCTAAACACAATGTCTCTTCAGACACAGCCTTTATCTAGGCACTATATTGGATGTGCACGAGTCCTTAGATAACTCTGACATGTGTTTAACCTTTTAAAAATGACATCACCACCAGAGATAATGAACTCTTCCTTAATAGGTAAAAACACAAATACATCAATAAAAGCTGACCCCTTATTTGATTCTGCAATGATAATGGATAACGTCACTAGATGACATATGATATTCAAAACCAAATGTTTGTCATACAAATTATTTCTCCTCATCAGACAAAAAAAAAAAACCACCAACTCTCAGCGACACGTTACGTCCCATTCCTTAGCCCAAAACAATACAGCCACCTGTGTAGCTTCCCATAGTGATATTCAAGCCCAGACACAAATACAGTTAACTGGTCCAGCCAGTGCATGCACCAGGCATTCATTAATTACAGGGTTTCTAGCACTTGTCCAACCTTCCTCCCCCCCTCCTCTTAATCGAGCGCACGTTTTGAACTCTGTATGCCCTCGCATGACTCCGGTCTGCACTTGAGTCTGTCCATTGATTGGAATGCATTTTCTCTTCCTCTTTTATTCATGGCATTACCCAAGCCGAGTTGTGAAACTGTATGGATTAATCAACCACTCGCAAGCTTTTCCCAATGTATTTTTCTGTGCACTCCACAAACAAAAATTTCTTTAAACAATTTATTAGAGTGTTTTGACATAATTAGCTGAAATCAAATCAATAATAATAAAAAACAATTTACACTTATGCAGTAATTCTCAAACTAAGCTGGCTACTAATATAATGCATCTGCTAACCAAAACAAAAAGTTGCAGCTGTTAGATTTCATACATTCAAAACATTTTTAACGTTTTGACCAAAGAACTGTGCTTCTCTAAACAAAACACCACAGAAGAACAGTACTACAAGGGAATTTGAGATCCAGAATAACATTCTGTATGGTGATGAACTAATATGCATTAATACACTGAGTATGAAGATTTTGGATGTCATATGTCTGGTATGGTAAAATTCACTACGGCAGGCTCTATGCAGGAAAGAACCATCAGTAGTAGCAGATGTTGAATCAAAGTGAAAGATACTATGGAATGGCCAGATTCAACCAAATGACTACTGAAAAAACAACAACGTTTTCAAACTTCCATGTAAAACAGTGCTCAAGTTATAACTGAACAAATGCTGAACAAAATCTTTGTCACATAGGCCATGTTCGTAGTTATCTCCTTGAGTTCGTCTGTATAGATCTCAAGGTTAGCCATGGCCGCCGGTAATTAGCAAAACCTACAGTACCTTTTTATATCATTTCTTGAAACTCACTGTTTGAATTTCATACCTGAAGCATATTGTCTACGGATGCTACACTACATGTTCATCAAGCCATCAGGTCAATTGTAAAAAAAAAAAAAAAAAATCCTGTTAGTAGGGACTTAACAGTTGGGCAGCCTCAACCAATTTAATGTACACTGTCAATTAATTACCAGACTAACACATTGATCGGTTCTTAAGGGAGCCACACAATGCAGTCGGTGTAATTAGCATCAATGGACGTGGCTGACTGCCCCAAGATATTACCAGCTGTTGGCTCAGCTGACCATATTGCCGTTTCTCTGTGCCCAGATGTTGGCTTTGTTTGATGGGCAATTCTTTTTGTTTCTCCGTAAGCTTGTTTGACACGAGTACTGGCGACGACAGGGGATTCACACTCGAGTGGATACACTGGATGACTTTTTCATTATGACATTCTGTCAATATAATGTCCACTTGAGATAAAAAAGCGGCCATGAATATGGAACAGCACCGAGTGTGAAATAAAAGAAGCAAGTTATTCACCCAGTTCAGACATCCCCTGAATATCAAATTACAACATCTTGGGTATAAAAGAGAACAAGCCTTGCTTGGAAAGATAATGACTAAGTATCGACAAATTTCATACACTACACTTCTGTAAATTGCACGTGATTTCAACCAAAATAATAGCGAAAAAATGCCAAGATGTGCTGACAGTGCTTAGTATTTTGGAGAAAGTATATGTTCCTAAATGTCACTCATTGCAACCCACTATCACAGCATCTGAGTCGCAGTCTGAGAATTACAGTCAACCCTCAGGCATTTCCAACTATGTACCTCATCTGGTCATACAAAGTGGACATGCTTGGTCAGACTGGACAAAAGACAAACGTGATGTCCACAGCATTAAGAAGGCTGCAGGCAAAGTGCCATTTTCTATAAACCGAGAGAGGAAATTAACACTGGCAAAGTGTATCTTAATGTGAACATAAACTTTAAAGTTCCTTGGCAGTTTTTCACCCAATCTTTGTAACATTTGTGGGGCCTGCCATTTGTGCAACCAATAGTGTCATGAGCCGTTCGTTTTGTGCTGCCGTTGAATTTACAGCATGAAAAACACAGGAAGGAGTGCTTACTTTCGTGACAGTAGATGCCTGTGTAGCCAGGGTCACAGATGCAGGAGAAGCGGTCAGCTCCTTGACTGAGGCAGGTGCCATGAGGACCACAGATCCTGGAGGGAACTACAGAGATGCCTCCTTCACTGTCACTGGCTGGTAACACTACCGTGCAGCTATCCACCACTGATGACAAAAGAAAGTTGTTGGAAAAAGAAGACCACTGATGTCAAAATTGTAAGCAATGTGCCAAATGGTAGACAGGCGCAGAAAGATTAGAATGGAGAGATCTGAAATAAGGGGGGTTGGGATAAAGTTGGAAGCTACCGACAAAAAAGTTTCATCTGAATTTTCATTTTAATGTTACAGTTCATGGCAGAGGACACCAATTAGGAAGCATTCCAAGGTTGACAATCAAAAGTTGACAGTTTACAATGAGACTGCAAGTTTCTCTAGAAATGAAACTGCATTAATGTTGAAGACCACAGTCCATGCATGACACTTTAACCAGCCCCGCAATGCACAAAAATATTTGTGACTCCAACGCTGGTAAAACTAACTTTACACAATTTAAGCACACAATGTCCACCCTGATACCTTGGCAATGTGGTCCATGACACAGCTGCTTGGGCTGGGAACAGTTCTTTCCCTGGTATCCATCGGGGCAGGCACAGTAGTAGTCACCCAGGAGATTGAAGCACTGGGAGTCATGGTGACAGGGATTGGGGTCGCAAAGGTCAACATCAATCTGAAAAATGATGAACATTGTGTAGTGACAGAAAATGACAAGAGAAGAAAAGCTATTAGAATACTGAACGGATTTGTTTTGTCCAATAAGCTAGCACTCCTGTAGACCACTCTTATTTTGCCTTTATGGGCAGCCAAAGTTTGCAGAAAAATCACCCTTTGGTTGGTTTTTGATTTTACCTCAAATTCCTTCAAATTGTACATGTCCCATGACTTTTAAAGGGGTTGTATTTTCATTTAGTATTCGTTGGTACACGTATCATTATCTGGTGCTGGTGTTCTGATAGCTGTGTGTGATTTTTAAGGCTTTGTTAACTATTTTTTACTCTTTTATCGGCCACTTGTAGGAAAAACACCACTGTGACGTGAAAAGACCAGACCCCATACACTGTCTTTCCTCTACTTGCTAATGTACATATACTTTAAAATTAATATCAACCGTCAAAATATAGCTGCTGGTTCTGGCAAAGATCTCCCTGACTTACTTCAAGTGAGTGGTTTTTAGTGTCATACAAATTTCATAGAAAATGGGAATGTTGAGAGACAGATCTATACCAAATGCGGTGACTGGGTGCTTCATTCAGGTCCTTGGCCCTGGTTATCCCATAATATTGATGACTTATAGGCATCTCTGACTGCATGACACACAAGTAAGAATTAGTGTGTCCACTTCAATCAAGTGCTCTGCCTTCAATTCATCTTTCTGGCCTTGGCAAGGAACCTAACATTCAAGTTATTTTTGACATTCAAAAAAAAAATAATTGGCCTTAAATTTATGCACTTGAGCCTTAAATCAAGCACTTGGCTTCAATTTAAGCACTTGTCTTCAATTCATGAACTTGACCTTCAACTTACGTGTTTCAAATTCATTTAAAGCCCGAAGCCTTCACTTCCTAGTTCCGGATTCAGTAATCAAACCCACCTGACAATCGGTCCCCGAGAATCCAGGTGCACATTTGCATTGGTAACCAGCAACCTTGTCAATGCACTGCCCCCCATGCTTGCAGGGGCTGCTAGCACACTCATCAATGTTGATCTCACATTCAATACTGGAGAATCCAGGAAGACACACACACGAGAAGGAGTTTACCAAGTCCTGCCAACAACAACAACAACAACGAAACCTAACATGCATGCACAGATTCGCACGGCAAAATCTGATCTAGCAGCATAAACTCTCAACACAGAGGACTACACGCAAGTTTATTTTCAGTCAAGCCCATGAATGCAATCAGAGTAACGGAAGTCGAGACCTGTCTACATAGTTCAAACAAAAAAAACTATGTACTTCTAACCTTAAAGAAAATACAGATAGGAGTTTTATAAGTTTTTTCTTCAAGGAAAATAAATTACAGTGTATTACCTACACAACTCTGAATGCAAAATTTTTCAATCTATCCGACGAAATTACAACATATACAGGCTGCAAATAGAAAGCATGAGTTTGCAGATATTCATTTGCAATCCTCCTGTTCTGAATGACAACAGCAAATGAAATGTGCATTCTGTTTTGCAGTTTATTCATCTCAAGGGCAAATAGAGGAAAAGAACGGAAGAGGTGCTGGTAGGGAATTGACACAATAAAAAGTGCACTATGTCGATTCATTGCCGAGGACATTGAGGACACTGTGTGTGAAGATTAAGAAAAAGACGCCAATTTATGGTGCACAGATTAAATAACTGATAAACACGAGGAACGAGTGACAAACCGCGCATTCAGGTCTGCACAATGTGCATCGATCTTAAGAAAAAACAAAAACTAGGGTAGAGACTATCATAGGTAGAGCTGACTGCTCTGCCCAGTATTGTGACTACAAAAATCTGTTTGTAGGAGTATGACCTTGGACACATGTCAAAGACAATTGTGGTTGGGATGTTAATTGATGGACAAGATCAGACTTTGATGTTTCTTCTTCCCACAAATTGGTTACAAAGGAAGCAAATGTAGGAAAGACTTAAAAACCTTGAGGAGTAAACAATTAATGCCCATTATAAAACAAATAAAATCCTAAATGACACTAATGGCATTCCATTTTCAGATTTCCCCCAAAATGCACACCACAAAACCGCTATAATAAACAACAGAGTCAACTTCAAAAAAAAAATTGAGGATAGCGGTCATTCAGTATAGCGATTTTCAGTCACCAATGCAGCCACTCACAGTTCCAGCCTGTTCAAACGTGTGGTGACCCACCTAACAAATGCGTCTGCATGAGGATTTTTGACCAACACTTCCAACTTTAGCGCAAAAGAAACTGAAAATGATAAACGCTGAAGTTCTTGCTAGTTGTTCAGAATGTTCTTTACCTTCAAGGTAGTTCTCACTGGAAGTGAAATAAAGTTTTCTTGAGCCATCGCTTAAAAATTGCATGTGAAACGCAGTGCAGTTACACTGGTTCCCATTGCTACAATAGATGGTCCAGGAACTACTGTACAGCCCTGGAGCACAAGCCACAATGTTACATATCCAAAGTGGGCAAGGTACAAAATGTTAGCTCAGGAAAGCATTATTGCAAACAATTGAAAGTAGCAAAATATTTAACAAAGGCATGTAAGTTAAGTTTACAAAAAGCTGATCTGTCTAGTGTCTACTTGGAACGTATACGTATTTTCTGTTTTGATGGTTTTTTTTCTCAGTAAAATCCTTGCCTTTGTAGCAACAACATGAACTGAAATTATCTGCATATGAGGCGCCTGCATTGCACGCACCGGGTACTCAGAAACTGTTTTTTTCTACAAGGCCCCAACACACGCATGTAAGTTATACATGTACCCATTAACAATATGTTTTGGCCGTTGTTCCTTCGTGACAAAGGTTTTCCTTACCTCTTGAGTCATTAACATCAAGTCCTAAATAATAATCTTCCATTTAATAAAATATTCACATTTGGTATCCGAAATGAAAACATGGCACTCAGAAATACAGGTCAGTCAATTCGTATTGCTTAACCATGGACTAAAGAAAGTCCAAATGTTCTAAAGAAAGTGCAATGCCGATACACCGAACATCACTATACTGAACAATTGAGTATACTGAACTTTCTCTTTGCTTCCGAATTTTCTATATGCTTTTACCCAATATTCAAAAATTGCTTTAAGCAAATTGAAAAAAGAAACCTGTTGATACACAGATAATCTAATTTATCTAACCCAAGCTTACATCCTTTCGGTATGGCATTTAATTTGGTAATAGAGTATAGACTCTCAAACAGAATTCAGATTATCACTGTCATTTCTTAATAATGAACTATTAATTTCTACATTTATTCTTCAGCAAATTAAATATAAGAAGCTTACCAGACACGTTCCACCATTGATACAATGACCCACACAATCATTTACATCTGAAAATCAACACAAACCAATTTGTACAATTATAGGGAAAAGTACTGAATTTGCATTACATGCAACAGCACGTGTGGTGATTACGTTTATCGTGGTATGAAAGTTGCAGGCATCATGGAAATAGGTCAACAGCGCATTGCTTGTAACAAATTCATAATGAGAATTCATGAGATGGATCCAACTACCGTAGTAACACTAACTGCTTACATTTTGAGCAGAGTGTCTACACCATCTTCAGCCCTGATTCTTGCAAGGGTAAGTTTAATGATCCATCTTTCTCTGTTAACAACCTTATTTGCAATCCATATCGACAAAAATCATTCTTAAGTTCCAAGAACTGCTCCTCGATATGGCCATGTTGGAAAGATCTTGCATAATGGGTATCAGTACAGTTGAGATTGTCCATTTTTTCTCCCATATAAGGACTATACCCATGCATGCGAGGATGGCAAACTGAATGATACATTAACATGAAAAGCTTACAATACTCTTTCCATTTCAAATGGAAACAAATCACGACTTAATGCATTTAAGACTATTACACAGGATCCAATCATACATGTATCTGAGCTTTTCAAACTGTTTCAGCAAAGTATTAAAAAGTAACACCATTACTAAATTGACTGTCAATACGTGTTCCATAGACTCATCAGCCGCCCTAAAAGAAACCCAGTGTTTGGCGTATACGATACTGCCCGACAAGTTCTCAAGCTTACTTACTGACGTCGCAGTTCTTTCCAGTCCAACCAGGCTGGCAGTCACACAGGTAGTCTCCTACCCGGTTCCTGCAGGCGAAAGCATGCATACAAGGCCTGCCCATGCACTCGTTGGCATCTGAGTGGGGGGGGTGGACCAAAACATGGTTTAGCCAAGTGTGATTTTGATGGTTTGAATAGAGGGAGGTAGTAGCAAAGAGAAGGAGGTGTGCGGCGAGCACCTTGTCAAATCTCTTAGGAGCGAGTGGGGGGTTTCGACAGTGCGCTCTGTCTGTTGCATGATGCCTGACGAAGGACGGAGTATACTGTCCAAATGCCCTTTTATGTTATCTGTTTCATCTTTTTGTTGTTTGTCACAGAATACCGTGACAACCACTGTGACTATTTTCAGTAGACTGTCCAGTTCATCACTTTAATTTAACGGATACGGATTTGTATGATAATGGCTAAAAATTTGAATTACAACTTTGTGCGCATTACCACCTTGCAAAATTTACCAAATAAAAAATGAAATTGAAAATGTGCTGAATATAAGCTAAATAACAAAATAAATTCAACTCTATGGCCAATCTATCTTCTAACAAATTTTCAACATGAAAACATGTCCAATTAAATATCTGACAAAACCAAATTCATTCTTAACACAAAGCTTCTCAGTATTTGTTTCTACTTTATATCTAACTTTGTTCAATTGTTTATATACACCTGAAAGACACATTGCAATTCTGATCACATTTCCAGATGACAAGAGAAGTTGAAGTCAAACAAAAATATTACCACCATCAAACTGAATTGAGTTTTCAACAACAGAATAACCAGGTCATCTTTCCGTATTTTCACTTTTAGAAAAAGAAAAAGCACAAAGCATGTATTTCTTTGGAGTTACTTCCTGATAGAGAATTACCACATTAGAAAAATTAAGGAACTTCTACTTCAACATTAACACTGAAAAGGAAAACAAAAAGACAAAAATAGTTGGCTTACAAGAGGATCATTTTGATTAAGTGCAAATGTACCTTACGTACCAAATTGGCAGACGGGTCCTTCCCACTGAGGTGTACACAAACAACTGAAGCTGTTGACTCCATCGATGCATTCCCCTCCATTCTGACAGGGCTGGGAAATGCAGTCATCAATATCTACCCCAAAAAAACAAGATCCGACCCGATCTAACAAATTCTTACACAAAATAAATAGTCCAATAAATTCTTTCTATGATCTTCTGTATTGAATTGAAAGATTGGTTGGCATTAGGTGGTAAAATCACATTGGGAAAACTAACAAATACACCAGTTATGATGAAACCCTAGTTTCATGGCAACTCCAATCCCCTCATGATAGACAAAGTTTGTGTCAAGAGTTTACTCTCAAAACCTACAAGTCTGGTAATTTTAGTCACTGGTTCGTTCCCAGCATCAAAAAGGAGCTACAGAATGTCCCTCAGATCTTGCAGAATCATTGACGAACAAAGCAGCTCATAAGACAGATTCTAGTCCAGTACCATATCTAATAGAGTTTCAAAGCAACTGCTGGTCTAAATCAGTGGATGTCAATTTTTTCGACGTACGTTTTTTAGCTGTATGTTTCTTCCTGTGTAGTATAATTTTTTTTCTTAAGTTTATATAATTAATGTGTGTGTTTTAATTGTTAAGGTTAAGTGTTTATTTTGATCCACTGCGCAATTTGAAAGCAAAAGGAGTCACAATGTGTCCCTCAGACCTTGCCATATTGATGATCAACAAAGTTACTCAACAAATATCATTATCATCTTTGTTGACATAAATTGGTGGGTGTGACATTGTTAATGTCAGTTTTTTTGGGGGGGTTCTTATTGTAAAGTACAATTAAAGTTTTCTTTTCTTCTTTTACTTTAATGCACGTGCCTTTAATTGTTAATGTAAGTTTTAATTGTAATCCACTGTGCAATTTAGTCGGCTGCAAGACGAGATTGAAATAAGCCAGTAAAAAAAGTAATAATAATGACTGGGGTTAAAAAGTAAACCATCGCAACAATGAACTTGGTAAGGGACGAGTGGAGGCACTTTTCATACTGACTTCTTTGTCTGTCCTTGCTATTGCAGAGTATTTGGCAAATGCTGTGAAACACATCAGTCTACCTCCCTCCACAGACTTGAGTCAAAACCAAGCAATTGGTCATGGATCAGTAGAATGAAACAAACACATTCATCATCAATGGCCAATGGCACATATTCACATGCAATGCTGTCACACAGGGCAGAATCCGACTAGGAAAGCCTGGGAAAGGCCAGTGAGTCAATTTGTTGGTAAAATTGATAACTTAAAAGAGTTCAAAATTCAAATTAAACACAGCCATGAAACTTCACAAAGCGAATGCAAATCTTGTTCTTCAGTCAAAGAAAATGATTTTTTGTCCAGAATTGGGGGGGGGGTTTCCCTACTTTTTTGGTATACATGTAAATGTGGGGTAAAAATTGATCAAATAAAATCAGCTGATCCAACAAAAAACCTCCATGCTAGTTATTAGACACTCTTAATATTTCAACAAATTTCAAAAATCTTTCACCAATTCCAACTGATTACAGGTCTGCAACTTTAAAAAAGTGTCAAAATCTACAGCAAAATGACAAGAGGGGAAAAACGTATTGATGGCCCAAACAAATGAAGCCTGCACTTACTCTGTTGGCAGGTATCTCCTTTCCAGCCTCGGGTGCATATACAATGGAAGCCCTCTCCAATCTCCAGGCACGTCCCACCATTACCACATGGCCGATTCTCACAAGGATGCTCCGCTGGTAATCAATGTACAATAAACCATCATTGCCCCCAATGACGCATTCAGACTCGCACCTTAACCGCACTGTTCACTACATTTTATTTTTTTTCTCAAGACCAGTCAGGACCTAGTCATGGATTATCGGCTTTTTAGATTTGTTAAATTTGAACAGTTCACCACACTGTAAACATGGCAGTTCCGGGAACTGCATTCAAGATAGCACTGAATATGAAACATGAGCTTCAAAAAAGGGATAATATGCTTGTTTGAAGATACATGTACATCCTGTAGTGAATCTCCAAATTCATGTTTTTATTGTAGCTTTGTTCTAATACTGCGATTACTTTTCATTCTCCTAGAACAAGTTTCCATTCTTTGCAACTAAACTTTTTTTCGGTTTCTATGTGGTCATTCCCGACTGATATACTTCATGAAAATGAATCTTGCATTTTTATCTGCTCTCATTGGACCAAGTAAAAGTACAATATTAACTTCCACTTCGAATTTTCTTCCCATGAGGACTAACTTTCCTGGGTTTGGAGGTTTCCTTCGTTGTGTACATTTCCTTCCTTAAGATTCCTTGATAATGCACTGCAGATCCCACTCTGCATCCCATTCCAGGCCCAATTCCGGATCCTATTCCGGATCCAGATACCAATTTGGACATTCTAGTTCCATTCCAGACCTTATTCTGTATCCAAATCCGTATCCCATCCAGGATTCCATTCCGGATCCTACATGTCTCATGGATTCCATTCCCTTTGCTTGTGTCTCACCTTCCTCACATGTTTCTCCGTGAAACCCAGGCTGGCACTGACAGGTGAATTCATTGGGGCCGCTGTTGGTACACACTCCATCATTCAGGCAAGGTTTGTGTCTGCCACAGTAATTAAAATCTTCACACAGGAAGGACAAGCAAAATTGACTTCAATAATGGTTAAAACAGAACTACACTGCACCAGAAACAAGCTTTTTAACAGAATCACATTCTTGCATAATGATAAGTGGCTCTGCAAAATTGGGCCTTGATGATAATTTTCAGTTTTATTCATTTCTCAAGATTATTCAGAGAGGAATTGTAATGCATCAGTTGGGAAGATGTGCTCAGAAGCATTTTCATAACAATAAAACATGTCTGGTCCCGGATGACAACATTTCCACAGAATGACCCATTTTTTACAAATCAGGATGTGTCCGCTCATGCTATTTCCTTTGATCAAGGCACCTCGTACCATGAAGGTGTTGCTAAATATGGCACAATGATTCCAGAAGAGAGGGAACAGATTTGCCAAAGATTTGCGAAAGATACAACGGGATGTTTGGCATTTTGCCACAAAAAAGGAATGCGGCGTGAAAAGTTGGGGTTCAAACTCCCGTGTGGTGCACATGTGGGTACTGTATATAGGATTTAGGTTTGTAATGTATTTATATGTAGCCTGTGTTGCTTTTCATCAAAAGCAAGTTTTTTTCACAAGATGCGTAAAACTACAAGAAAATAAACTAATCACTACAACTCAACAAAATGACAATATTTGATTAGACGAGGCAAACTGTGAGAAACAGGATTTGAACCTACCAATTCAGAGTCCTACTTCAATTGATTTGCTTTTATCAACCCAGAAATTGATTACAAAACTGGAAGGCACTTATCTTTTTTAGGTCTTTCTGAAATTATTCATTTCTTGACGGACAGTAGAGGGTACTTAACAGATTTGTTAATCCAGATTTGTCAAGTCAAGGAGACAAGGATGATTGAACAATTTAGATTGTTCCATCAAGTCTATAATCAAGTAGTTAGTTACTGCTAGAAATGTGGCAATTCAGGTGGGAATCAGCCAAAAGGAAAATAAAAGTCTTTCCAAGTTTCACATAGGATCTATACATTAAAACGCTGGTATGGGATGGGGGATAAGTTTATAAAGGTGTGTGTGTAATACATTTTGGCTTTGTTTTCATGTAGGAACACCAAGAAATGACAGCTAATTGCAATATAGGTCAGTTACGGGTCCAGCACTTTCATTCCACGTTAGAGCCCAAACAACTGACCGACTCAGAAAGTAGAGTGGGTATGCACCATATCACAATCTTAGGCTCCCCACCAGCAACCCTTAATCATCCCATACTGCAGAGCAAATCTCTGCTAACACTCCAGAATAAGACCAATTTATGAGAACTTTGTTTGCCAAAAATCCATCCGCATGATTGCTCCACAGAGTGTGAAATTACAATTACAGTCAGATGTCTGCTTTTCTGATTGCTTTTGGTGCTGTCGAACCAAAAGCTGAAGTGGTCAGACAAAATAGCTGAAAGAAATATGATTTTAGGTAAAAGGCCCAATGCTTTATAGTGGTAGTGCTCTGGTTTATGCCTTTTATGATATTTTGAAAGTTTGCTCTCAAGTGACCTTGTCCTAATAAAAGTTGGTAACAGCAGAATGAAATTGATCCTACTGGTATGTTTTGTCAGACTTTTTGTCCTACTTTCATCAGCTGGCCCCAAATCGCAGACAACGCTTGCCACCTTTGGTCATGAAAATATGTGTCACATTTACAGCCTCTCAAATCATGCTAGTGTATTGCAGACATGGCGGTTTACCCTTTGCAATCATTTGCTCAGTTGAAGGATTAGCTTCTGCAATTTGTAAGAATACAATCCCGGAGTAGCATGTTACATGTACACATACCTTCGTCACATAGCATTCCTCCCCACTCCTGTTGGCAGGTACACTGCCAGGGGGAGCTACAGCTGCCGTGGACACAGCCTGGATAGGGTGAGCAGTGGTCACATAGCTCCCCTTGCCAGCCATACTGACACCTGTCCCGATATAAATCGAGGGGAGGATTTAAAATGACAAGTTTCAACTTATTGGGGGGATTAGGCCCTCTGATGAGAACCTCTCTCAAGCCTGTCAGAGGGACACGTGTGGCGTGTATATTCATGCTGCACGGAATCCTGAAATGTTCAGGGGAGGTTTTGCGTGTCCGAGATATTTCCCACCAGACAAAGAGAAAGTTCAAATAAAAGTTCCCCATGGTGGGAATGATTTAAGGATACTCTCATAATACCTTGCATTTGTGGAAACCATTGGAACTATTATAAACAGTGTTCCTTCTGTGGGTTGAAAATGCTTCGTTTGCTCTTAAGCCATGTGGCTGCTGTCTGTTTTCACATGACGGGAATTAAATCAGGAGTCTGAATGTCAGTTTTGTCACGGTAATGTCACTGCCAGTCCAAGAACATTCAGACCTCCCCACAAATAAGTTCACCTTGGAGTCAATGCCCCTCCCCCAAGTTTGACTCAGCGCCAAGAGCTCTCACCATTTCAACAGCCTCTTTATTTCATGCAAGTTTGCGTCACATCTTGGTGAGGCAATCACCAGCAGAAACACGGCAGTGTCCAAATCACTTAGCTGTGTCTGAGAATAACACATGCACCTATGGAAGCCGCTAGCTAGTGGCTTCCTGTGCTATTCATGAACATTTGATATCCAGCCATAGCCAATTTTGAGCCATGTGTAATTTGGACACAGCCACACAGCAGGTACTACATCACCACTTTGTTGTTTACAATCATATCATTATCTCCCTGTGTAAACCCCAACGTTAAACCGGAACAAATCTGCTACTTCATTTTGAAGTATTTCATTTGAAGACAATGAGTATAACTATCAGCTACAAAGCATAAACTTAGGTGATCATATGGAACCTATGTGTATACATAGATCAAAGATGTGAACTTTGCTCAACAAGAGAGTGATATTCGTGCTTCAGTTAGTGTACCCGAAGTGCAAAATGACTCCTGCGGACGTTGAACTCAACTGAATGTAATTATTTGACTGTTTCTACCAACACGTACACCACAGCTGGGCACACATGCTCCAGTACAGTGTGTGACATCATCCTCAATTGTCCCATGGTTGTCCATTGGGACAAATACCATGGAGGACACAAGTGTTGATTTAAATATCTCTCTAAAGTAAACAGGGTAACAACAGGGGGGACATCCACAGATCAACACCAGGGCCTGGAAAGGATGCAGTCTGCAAGCAGTTAAATTCAATCAACACATACATGTACATGGTGTATTTAGGGCTCGGAATGCACACAGGCAACTGAGTATCACACTTATTTGAAGGGTGTAACTACAGCACAGAGCCCCACATGTTGTTGACAAAGACTACATGTAGTTTCAATCAATGAGTTCTGTGAAAACCAAACCTGTGATCGAATGAAATGATGGTGGAATTAAAAAGAACTGCATGAATTGAGGGTAAACTTACAAGCATTCTCCGGGTTGATTGCAATATCCATGAATGGAGTCACATCCTTGCTTACAAATCGCTGTGTGCAAAAGGAGCATGGACGTATTATTCAGCTTGACTCTTTCCCCGATTCCAACTTTATGTGCATTATACAAGGAATATCTCCCTACTCAAATCCGACCTGATCCAATCACATCCAAGATGGTATGACCAAAAAAGGCAATATTCTTTGTCCAGGAAGTCAGAGGTTTTATGTGGACCAAATTCGCATGAGGGAACAAATTTCTTTTTTTTTTCTTCTTTTTTTGGGGGATTTACCAAACATCTCTCTTTACAAATATCTAAAGTTTGGCACCCACTTTAAAAAAACTAAGAGTAAAATTCCATTGATACAATTTTACAATTTTACTTGAAAAAGCCCCTTATAAATTCACCCCGAGTTAAGTGTGTGCACCAGGAATGCCGCTTCCCATTTATAAGCTCGCTTTCTGAACATCACTTTGTGACAAGAGATTGCATCAGGAGATGCTTACATTTTTCACACAATTTGATGGTAACAGAACAAATATTTCACAAAATAAGTTTGAGTGTATCTAGTAAGTAGCAAACAGGTATTGCTACTTGCTAGATAGATGCATATTTAAATTTATCCTGTGAAGTAATTAAATCCTGTTACATGTGGACAAAAATCAAGGAGGTTGAAGTGCACCAAATTAGAGAACATAATACAAACATGTTTGTAGCATAAAGTACTTGTCTTTAACAGATTCACAGGAGGCCCCCCTTTTTCCACTTTTTTCTTTCTCTATGAAACCTGCTTTTTTTCTTTTAAAATTCTGTTCCATACTTATCATAGTTATCATAGTTGAAAGTTTCAATTTTTCTGAAGTGTGGAGATTTTCCAACGATAAATTGTTTATCTTTTGAAAGTACACAATGAAATCGACCTTTGAATATTTTAAGACCAAGAGCAAAATGGCAAGGACAATTTGGTAAGGCCAGGTCCATCACAGATCCTGCATAAATACATGTAAACGTAAAACAGTGACAAAAAAAATCATCAGAATCAATTTAAGGTTTCACTTTCTGCATAAACAGAAGAGGCAGTTCATACTCTCCTGAAAAAAAAGTACCTTTGACACAGAAAGACAACATTCACGGCCATTATGCTGCCAACACACTAACAATTTTTGGCAGAGACATGTAACTGTACATTTTTGCTGTGCCTTGTACACTCTAAAACATGGTTTTTCGGACGAATCAACATGAAGAGAAAACGATGTATGCTCGAACTAAAGTGAAATCAGCGAGTATTATTCTATTTTGGAAATGTGCTATATGAGTATATACATGTAAACACTTGAGATAGCAACACATGAGGTGAAAAATTAATAATTTCTATTTTCAATCAAAAATTAATATACATTTTTCAGTCACTAAGTGGATAATACATATAACTTTTCCATTCATTCCATACCGCAACATGGCTGAAAACTGATCAAATCCAAACTTATTACGAACACAGACTGTGGTTTCACACCATTTCAAACCTGTCTGCTGGTTCGTATCTGGAAGTGGAACTGAGTTTTGAATGTTAAAATAATGGCAAACATTTGTCCCCCTCCCCAGGATTCTGAGTCATATCTACAAAGCAAGTATTACGGTCATTCCAGAAAATAGGGGTCCATTTTTTTCTGGCTCCTGTCACATGATAAACGATTTTGTAAGTTCAGAACACATTTTCTTATTTCCAAGAGTGATGAATGAATGCAAATTACCTGACAAACAAATACATGTACTAATAGTTTGAAATCAACTCCAGTGATATTTCCATGTCAAATAACAAAGGTCAGGTGTCACAGGGACACAAAAATGTCGCACTTTTGGACCCCTAATTTCTGGAATTTACCCATTACCAATGTCATTGGAATGTTTACCATTCAAGAGTGTAAGCAAACATACCTGTTTGGCAGTTTTCTCCCGTCCATCCTTCATGGCACACTTTATCTCCATTGGCATCACAGGAGTAATGTCCGAAAGTGTCATCCCTAGACCGGCAGAACTTGACGCAAGTGGAATCATAATAATTGGGGTCGCACAGGACCCGAATTCTGTACAAGAATCGCGCGTTAGCACCATTGTGTCGTAGCGTGGTCCATGAAAGGCTTGGGGCAATGATTCCAGAATGGAAGGCTCGTTCAATCAAGCAGGAGGACCCTAGCAACCACAGGAGAGGGAAAAAAAAAAGGAATGAAGTGTTATATCATCTGCATTCTGAAGAAAACGCTGAGAGATGGTGGGCAATTATTTTAGGATGGAAGTACTGCATCTGTGGTACTCTTAAACTGCTTGGTCACTTCTCTCTGGGTGCGTATTGTAAGTCTGATGCCTCAAAAGTCAATATTTTGGGACTTATGAGGCATTGGAATAATGAGGCGCCAGATTTATGGGCACTTTTTTTTTTTTTCAGCCTCAAAGTTCCGACGCCTCAAAGGTCTGACGCCTCATAAATCCGACGTCAGACCAACGAGGTGTCGGACTTAATGAGGCATCAGTGTGATTGACTGTGAAACATGGAGGAGTGCGGGCCCGCGCGACGTGTCACCTGCGAGCGAGATTCAACTTTGTTCCCAACTCGTGCCCACGGTACTGACCCTGTTAGAAAAACTAAATCAAGTGGACTACCTGCACAGTTCATACACTGGTCCAGTATTTTTTAAATCCAAAATACCACTACGTGTAAGAATGATGTATGATACTTCACTAAATATAAAAAGCATTTTTTTGACTGTAATAGTTTTGAGAAGTTAAAAATGTTTGTATGTGTCATAAATAGTACACCATACTTCCACTGAGAACCAGTCTTGTTCCCAGCGCCATCTTCATACATTCATAACAAGCGTCAAATCAAATGTCGGACTTTCGAGGCATCAGATTTTTTGAGGCATTGGATCTATGCCATGGGCCAAAAAAAATGTTGGAACTTTTAAATGCATTTGTTGGACTTATGAGGTGTCGGACCTATGAGGCGTCGGACTTATGAGGCATTGGACCTATGAGGCGTCGGACTTATGGACTTTTTAAAATGCTTTTTTCAGACTAATGAGGCATCAGAATTAAGAGCTGACCCCTTCTCTCCAAGAGCAATGCTAACTACAGTTTACTGCACTTGTGGGGCTCATTTCCTAACCACATGAGGAGGACAGTTTTCAGTGACTACCTGTTACGCAACGCACTGTGTCAACAGCATTTCAAAATGTCGACAGTTGTTTTTAAAAGGAGGCTGACTGTTTAAGTGAATGATGAAATGTAATGTTCTGTTCATGTGTAAGCTTATTCTTACATCCACCCACCCGAGGTTCCAGTATTTCATACCTTGATGCTTGTACATGAACGCAACACTACGCACCAACATGTTTCTGTACACAATTGTATGCATATTCAACCAAACTTGAGTTTCAAGTAATCATACTTTTAAGTAATGAAGCCTGAACACGCACTTGACACATGCAGTGCAAGTGCACGTTGGACAGAATCAAACGCTAGGCCTACTTTTCATCATGAAGAACTGGCTAACTTGTTCAATGCGTGCACTACTATCTGATGAATGCAGTTTGACGCACAATATTATCATTATAATTCAGAAGTGCCCGCAATTCACATCCACAGGCAACCTCCACAAACCCATTCATACACAAGTTGGTAATTCCATCCCAAGTATCAATTATGCACAAGTGATCAATAAATATATGGTTCGGTTCTGCAAGTTTGAGCCGTCCTGGGTTGCTTGGCGATTTTATTGACACCGAGAGCCAATATCAAGGTCACTTGGAACAAAAGGGCTCCCCCACGGGTGGTAACTGAGACGAGTGTAATCCGCCATCACGACAACAAAGGCAACAATGAGCACGCCTGCTTGCGGTTGCGGTTCACCCTGAAATTCTGATGAAGTCAGGCCGTGCATTGTTGCAGTCACTTCTGACAATACCACACTCTATACATATGGGTTGGTGGACTACATTTGGCATCAGATGATTGGCGCAAACAAGATCAATTACTGAGATGTGAATATAGTGTGCACTTTTATCCACACTGAAATTTCATTTGGAAGGAGATGACACACACTTTTCTTGAGAACAACACAGTTGTGTAATGAGAAGAACCAGAAGTAAGTGACACAAAAGGCCTCCACAAGGACCTTGTACAGAGATTCTTTCTTCCTTGCAAACTTGGAAAGGAAAATAATCACGACACTAAAGATTAAACACCTTAACAGAGGCAATGCTCTCATACTTTAATTTTGTGGCTTACAAAGTAATGTAAACTGAGACATAAAAGTATATCAATGGACCAATAAATTTATAAAAAAGATATAAATGCAAAATGTAAAAAAAAAAAATCACCCGGCAAGCTCTGTTCCCTACATTTAATATCAAACCTTTGAAGCATTTAGAAAATCAAAAATACTGAAGGACCATGTACATGTACTTGAGCTTCAGTTAATATGCCAGTTTAAAAATCCTAGGCATATTAATAAGTGCAGAACATAATGGCATCCATTTTTAATCAGGCTGAATACCACATGTATTTAATGGTTTGAAAGGAGAGAAACAAACTCTTGTCAAAAAACACCTTGCTGCGGGTACATATACATAAATTGAGTGAGTGTAAACACGAAAGATAAAATTACGATTAAGAAATGTACATTTGAATTCAAGGAGCTGGTTGATGACAAAAACATGAAGCACCACTAACAAAATATCATGTCTCTGTCAGTGAAACACACTGCAAATGTTCTTCGTAATTTTTGAAACAATGCCTTGGGAAATACCAACGCTTATACAAATTATTCTAGCAAGTGCATACATGTTCATGTAAATTGATGAACTTAGAATCAAGTGAAAATTACTCCTTTGAGACAACATTTAGAACACCCGGTATGAGAAACATTCCAGTAATAAATTCTCCACAAATGAAAAAAAAAAGTTTTAAAAAGCAATTAAAAAGATCCAGTAACTTTGGTGTTTTCACCTTTTTTTCCATCTTGATCAACGTTCAAGCAGTGGGATTACCCAGTTATTCAATTTAAAGTTTTGGAGGTTGTTTCCCACGAGTGCTTTGTGCAAATCTGCAAACAGTGAGGACAAATACTGCCCAGCCTGAACTAACAAACGGGGTCATCTCCAACAAGAAGATCTGATCAAATTTGAACAAATGACACCACAAAGGACAGCCTTCCCCGGTTGAGGGCTCTTGAGTGAGGCAACTACACCGGGGAGAGCTGGGCAAACACAGATCATGGAGGCTCGCACTGCAAGGGAACAGGTGGTGAATGAAATAATTGTAACTCGCATATTCAGCAACGGAACTGTGGCATTTGTAGACTTTGCAGATACTTTTTTTGCCTCAGGATGCAGTCATTGTGTCCTTGAATGCATGCAGTATATCCAAAAGCTCCTAAGAGCTCAGGTGCGTATTGCTGGACCCTTCCAGGGAATCTCCCAAAAAGCAGAGTTTAGGACTTTTTGCCTAGTTTTGAACAATCTTGGGGTTGGCCATGTATGGTGTGACAATCTGCGACTATCATTTACATCTACGGCAGCAAAAGCAAGCAGATGCAATATTTGAACATTTGCAAAGACTGGTTACACTTGTTCAGCCCCCTCCCCCAAAACCTCCAGTCTGTGGTCCCAGATCATCAGTTCTAAAATTGAGGTAGCCTTTGACTTTTGTTTCACAACATCAAATTTACAATACAACACCAACTAAAATAAAGCATGCTGCTTCAGTATAGCCAGCAACATTTCAATGATCATTCCTTGTGCTTGCAAGCATGAAAGACTGCACCAAATGTCCATATACAGTACACATAGGTTTTATTAAATGTACATGTACCATTTCAGTTCAATTCCACGACATAATACAAAAAACACAGCTACACGGTCCTGAAGGTAATGTGCACAGGAACCAGTAACCAGCGGAATCCTTTTTCATTCTAGACCCTGAATGAACCCAGAGAAAGTTGAGCGTATTCTAGCTTCACACCTCAATATGCAGGGGGTGGTTACGCCGGGCTGATTTTGAAAAAAAAAAAACCTCTTTGTACCTGGAGTGAAGGTGTGAAATCCCTTGTATGTCTGAAAACAAATGGGGTTCAAGCTGCTGTAGCAGATGACTGCATTCAACCGTTTGGCCTGAATGGCCCACACATCATGTGGAAAATGAGCTCATGGGGATCACTGAACACCTCTAAGTTAAACAAACTAATATTGTTTTCTTTGGGTAGGTGATGTAAATAGTGTAGTGACTGATCATTACAAATTATTTCTCCCATTGTGCTGCTGAGAAGGTAAAAGCTACGAGTTCTAGAGACTAAGAGACTGTTAAGAGGTCTTTGCAGTGAATATTATTCACAAAGCACACCAGTGCATACTAGTATCTCTTGCAAGCATATATCCTACACTGACTTAGGCTTCCAGAGCTACGGCTAGGTCTATTGTCTACGCGTCTCCACGCATTTCAAATGGAGTGAAGACCTAGACCTAGCTCTAAACAAAGAGATTCCGATGCAGCCTTATATCCTATTACACCTGTTAACAGTTATTCTGAAGCACATGTATGAACCAAGTCACACCACAAGCAGTCAGAAATGTTCTTTAACTGTGAACTATATGAACTGTGATGCTTAGGACATACATGTATGTAAGATGCTTTTTAAACATTTTTCTGAGACAGATTTTTCCACTTGACTAGAGTTAACAAGTTTTAGAATCAGTCACGCTTCTTGATAATGACAAAAACAACCCCCCCCTTAATTAAATGAAAGAAACTGAATGAGTGTGAAGACCCTTTTGCAAAATTTTACTGGCAGTACATGAAGTAAAGGTTCAAACTTCATTTGGGGACTGAGATACTCTTTACTAAATTTGTCTGGATGGATGGCGTCATGGTTTTTAGTTTCTTTATTTCATTTATTTACTTGTCTCTAATTTCAAAAGTTAACTTGAGGTGTCCAGGAGAACATTTCTGCAAGAATTTACTGTCCATTTTCATATTGTGAATTTTTCAAGTTTTTGTTTTTGGTCCCACTGCTTCATTGTCCTATAACACATGTATTTAGTTTGCCTGATATCTGTGGATGACAAACATCCTCACGTTGCTGTCATCTGTTTTATCATTTAGTTTGCCTGATATCTGTGGATGACGAACATCCTCACATTGCTGTCATCTGTTTTATCATTTAGTTTGCCTGATATCTGTGGATGATGAACATCCTCACATTGCTGACATTTGTTTTATATAGTGGACCATTTAGGTAGTTTTCTTCATTTGAGAAAAAAAATTAAATCTGTCTTTTAGTATCAGACATTCCAAAACCCTATAGTTACCAGAGAGAAGAATACCAGATATGTTCCAAAGTTTGGGTTTTTTTTTGCCTTTTCTTCTGTCAGTTTTTGTCTGATACACAGATCAAGCCATTGCATGCAACGTGAAACAATAATCCTTTTATACACATAAAACATCCACTCGTAAATTGAACCCTATGACTCTGATTGAAAAAGTCTGAAATTTGAACCTGTTCAATGCTGGGACAAGTGCACTCCAGCTCCTGGCTTGGTTGGGAGAACAAGACTGGCCCTTGTGTGCTTTGTTTCTGATATCCAGCAAAATGAGAACCCAAACCCCTTAGGTCAGGCACACTCGTAAATAATAGGGTGAAGGCAACGGTGGGAACTGGCCAGCTAGTACAGACCTGCCCAGTGTTAACAGCTGGGGCCCACTCGGAAGCCAGGGAATGCAACATTTTTTTCTTAACTTTTTTTTTCGTGTACCTTCAGAAACCACTGGCATTTTATGGTAGCTAGGGAATAGCTTTTTTGGGGGGGGGAGGCTGGCAATTGTGGTATTTTGTGGGTAGTCCTGGGACTACCCTGTGACCACCAAGCCACAACAATGTGTCAGTGTGTGTTCTAAAGGTACATACACACTTACGTAAGTGATAAATCATTTTTGGGGTTGAAATTTAGAGCTCAAATTTGCTGACAGGAATGGAGGAGTCCCAGTGCCATTTCAATTCAGCAATATTTTATATTTTGCACAACAGCACATGTCTAGATCTATCACAAATACTTCAGTTTTACCATCAGAAAGAGCAAATACGAATTCATGAATATTCAAGAATTTGAAGTTTAATATGCACGTTATTGTACTGTTCACCGACTTTCAAACCATACTAGTTCATACAAAAGTTAACTCTGTGGGAAAAAAACACTTGCTGAAAAATAAAAAAGGTTTTTGTAGGGCATTTACCGGTATTTATCAAATTTATCTTCAAAAACTTTGACTAACTTTCTGGTTTTTAGTTTATTAATCTTAATGTTTGTCAGTTTTCACCTTTTCCTATGTGTAAATTGGAACGAATTCAGAAAAATGAGCATTAATATAAATAAAAGTTGCTGCCCTAATCAGATGTGCTGCACTGAAAAAATACCTTCAAAGTTCAATGTTTAGCCCCCCCTTGATTTCTAGGGTCAGCTCGTAAGTGCGACGCCTCAAAATTCCGACACCTCATAAGTCCGGAAAAAAAAGCGTTTAAAAAAGTCCATAAGTCGGACGCCTCAGAGGTCCGACGCCTCATAAGTCCGACAAATGTGTTTAAAACTTCCAACGGTTTTTTGGCCCATGGCATAGATCCAATGCCTCAAAAAATCTGATGCCTCAAAAGTCCGACATTTGATTTGACGCTCACTACGAGTGTATGAAGATGGTGCTGGGAACAAGACTGGTTCTCGGTGCAAGTATGGTGTACTATTTATGACACATACAAACATTTTTAAGATTTTGGATTTAAAAATACTGGACCAGTGTACGAACTGTGCAGGTAGTCCATTTGATTTAGTTTAGGGTCAGTACCGTGGGCACGAGTTGGGAACAAAGTTGAATCTCGCTCGCAGGTGACGCGTTGCGCGGGCCTGCACTCCTCCATGTTTCAAAGTCAATCACACTGATGCCTCATTAAGTCCGACACCTCGTTGCTCCGACATCGGATTTATGAGGCGTCGGACCTTTGAAGCGTCGGAACTATGAGGCTGGAAAAAAAAAAAATTACACATAAATCCGACGCCTCATTATTCCGACGCCTCATAAGTCCAAAAATTCGGACTTTTGAGGCATCAGACCTATGTCGGACTTACGACATGCACCCGATTTCTACAGTTTGTGGAAAAATTTAAAGAAGACAAAGTTGATTATCAATACAACTTGGGTGAGTTACAGAATAAAAAGTTTTCGACAGAATCAGAATACCATTACTGTGGTTACTGTTATAAAGTTGACCTGTATGTTGGTAACTACTTACTTAACATACTTCGTCTTGATGTTTCTGCCCGCAAAAGGATCTTGCCATGTCTCCAATGGTGAGAAAAGACCCCTTGCCATGTTCCCATCCCCACAGTATGCACAGCACTGTGCAAATAGTCAGCCTGACTACATCTCAACTATCAACAAAGTATCCTGACTGTGACAGATTAGCCCGACTTACCTATGCATTCCTGATCATCTTTGTCCAAGGCTGATATGATCAACGTAAATGTTTGCTGCAAACGAGTTAGACAACAAAGGAAAGAAACAGTTGCAAGTGATCATCTAATGCAACAAAAATACAGGCTCAGGGACAAGTAACCGAGAAAATGTAAATGTACATATAAACAGTGTTCAGTCCAGACCATCACAAGTCTACCACAAAGTCCATTGTCGTGTAAATTAAAAGTCAATTTATAAGTCTAGTTTCTGGTAGAATTGACAGGGACGGAACTGCACAGGAATGGCATGGCCATTTAAACACAGTAGCTTGTAATGGGCCTATGAAGGTATGATACACTCCCCCCCAAAAAAGCAAACAACTCAGGTCAGCAGCGACCCAAAATTAAATTGATGCTACTCCTTATATCATTTCCACTCCAAGCTCTCACACCGAAGATAAGCATGTAAGCTCTAGGACTTTTTTTTTCCCGAAATAAAAACACATAACTATTCCTGAGGCGCCTTGACGACAAACTCCGACACGGATCACTGCCATTATTTCTACTGATAATAAATCATCAAGGAGAATTACTTTCCCTGTGTGCGATTTTTTCATTTGTTAAATTCCCCCCCCCTTCCACATACATGTACCAGTACATGTAGAGTACGCACAATTTGAGGATTGTTCCGGTGTTTGCTCAGTGCATTCAGAAGCAGCCTGATGCCAAGTGCGGGCCGGGCTTACATTACGCAAGCAATGAAGTCTTGCATTCGAGACACCACACCCAGATGGCTAGCAGATCGTGGTTAATACTTTTGCTCATTCATGTCACTTCATCCAAAGTAGTATTACGACACAAAAAAATTCATTTATCCCTGGGCATTACTTGAAAAGTTACACCTCCGTTTGGATTGAAGCAATGCGTAGTATGGAAAAGGCTATCTGCTGGTCTATAAAGTCTTACATGTACATGTATACATGTAACTCACAGATGTTCCAGTCAATTAATTTTTATGTTAAAATGACTGCTCAAACCCTGGCTTTTCTACACACACTCACAGAGTAAAAAAAAAAGGAAAAGGGTAAAATTTTTACAGGGGTTGTGTTTCATTTTCTTCATGCATCTACAATACCCTTATGCAAAATACATGTGTAACAGCTGGGCTTTGCTGTGTTCTGAAAAGTATGGTCTCATTTTCACAAATTGCTACTCACCCCTTGAAGATAGATTGTTGGAAAGTGGGTGCAAATGAATAGGCTACATGTATCCTCTTAGCTATTTTCAGTTTTGTGTTCAGATCAGTCATCCCCAAGGCAACATTCCGGGAGAACTTGGTCACAACATAACACCCTACCAAACAACAACTTAAGATTTCATATTCTGGCAGCCTCCAGAAATGTAATCCCACAAAAACTATGAAAACTGGTATGCATGTGGGCCCTACTACAGTGTCTATAGTACATTCATGTCACTTTCCACAATGTCTCATTTAGAAAACTTTACTTACCACCCATCCAAATTCAAAGGGAAATATCATGGTTGCGCCATTGCTACTGTCTGCTCCACTGCCGTCCACATCGGACAGAATGCGGAAAGAGTTGTTTCCAAGCACGGGCGTCTCTGCACTGCCAAACGTGCAGGGTCCCTCTAGGGTGGCCCGGGTCTGATACTGCCTCAGGCATCCCACAAAGAATGTGTCACAACTATCCAAGCAGTCCCTGTCCTCCCCTGGCAGACGGGGCCCATCACAGCAGTCCCCGTTGGCTAACTCCCCAGAATCATTGTCGATGGACAGGATCCCAACTTCCATATATCCCGACGCCTGACAGAGTTGCACCTGAAAGGTGACAAGAAAACCAGACATTTAATTGATAAACATACACGTAATATCCCATTTTATCATTTAAGGCAGGAAAAGGCAAAAAAGCAGCTAAACCCTTAAATGAGCTTTCATTCTGAAAAAAAAGACACATAAATATCTGTGTATTTGGGGAGGATTATTTCTGTCTCCCAATCATCAAATCATTTTTATTTTAAATCAAGAGAACTGCAAAAGAGCAGTTGAGAAAATTAGTACTTTAGCAAAATAAGTTCTTCAAGAACATGTCACTTTGCTTTCTTGCACTGAAACATCTGCCTGACATACACTGTGCTTGATTTGGGTTCAGCTGGGTTAGCGGTACTACAAGTACCTTCAAGAACCCCTAGAGTGTAAAAGTGGACCTACAACTTATTACAAACTGAAGACCCTTAAGGTTCTGGAAGCCCACATAATCTTGCATATTGGGCAAACTTCATTGAAAAGAAAGTGCTGAGCTGGCCCACAGCACAAATTTCATGCACTTTTGAATGAATGCACTCGCCAATGATGAATTGACAGTGCCACAGAATAGATTTGATTGACACTGCACTGCACAGCAATGCATGCAATTCTGTCCCACATGCCGGTACAGCCCAAAGAAAGGCATGCTGATCTGAGGCTGTTATTCTACAAACATGGCAAATAACGCATAGTGCGTACGCTGATTCCTCCCACTGCTAATATGTATATTTGTAACTTTGAAAATGCATACCTGTGGTTTACCTTTGTAATTTTTGTAAATGTATTTTTTTATGATATTGTAAACTAAATACTCTGGAGGTTTTCACTTTTTGCTTGATCTTGACATTTCTTGCATAAACTACAGAAATAAATGAAATGAAACTAACTCCAACATTCATTGATACCTGAGAGCATGAAAAGAGTCATGCAGCTATAGGTATACACTTTAAGTAGTAGTTGTTGTTTTAATGGCGCTTTCAGCAACTCGGGCTATTTCCACCAATAAATGTACGTTTATTCATACACTTTATTAATCAGCATCACATTACGGAGTAAGGAAGACGGTCCAGTTTTAGAGGCAGGAGGAAACCGGAGTACCCGGAGAAAACCTGCGAGAGCGAGTATAGACTGGAAACCAAATGCACTTAAAGCCTGGGCTAAGCCAGGACTCGAACCCAGGCCTCATTGGTGCAAAGCGAGGAAAGAACTGCGACGCTAACCCGCTCCCCCCGTATGCACTTTAATTAAGAATTTTTGTACTTTATTAACTTCCTCAGGGAAGTAGGTACGATAGTGTCTATTCCTCTCCTTTTTATCTCCACCCATTTCTCTCATCCAATGCTCCTTTTGGCCACAAGCAGTAATTACCTTGTCCCCTTTCCCTTCACAGCCAATTCTTTTGAAAGGTTTGAACCACCTTGGGAATCAACACTAAGCACTGAACAGTTTGCCAGCAATAGGAAGTGAATGACTGACACAAAGGCCATCTTCTCTCTGTCCTACCAAACACTGGATTTAGGTGACAATCACTTTGTGGGAAAATTGGGCTGCTGATTACCACTCCTTCCCTCATTTCCTGAAATTACACAAACATGCAGGCTTTGACAGAACTATGCGCCAAGATGTACCATAGTTCTTGCTATTCTCATTTACCACTTTTGTGTGTCTGTAGCCAGCATAAATGTCGTCTCCTCAACCAGGCAAGCTAACTCTGACAAAAAAAAGGGATGGTTTCAATGTGTCCAGAAGTCTTTCACAGCCTGAGCTTTTTAGCAGGGGGAATCACAGATATCGGTACAGGTCCCCTTTCCCCTCCCGCCGACTTTCAGATTTATAAAAATGGGACAGTTCCCACTATGCTTCAGTACCACACAGCTAGGGAAACCAACAATAAACAGGTTATTACCCCCAGGACACAAGTGCTGGAAGATGTATACACAGTAAAAACAGTCTTGTCCCAATGAGCTCTACAGTCGAATGATTTCAGATACAACATTCATTAATAGACCTGTACTGGGGGGATTGAATCCTATGTGAGTAACGTCGCAGTTTTGGTTTGTTTTTTTCCTTGAACTTGTTGAAAAGCATTAGCAAGTGAAGTCCTAAACTTCACATTACATTGTAAAAAAATCCCACTGAATGAAACAAACACAACTTCAATGCTGAATATTGAGTCATGCACCCACCAGTGAAAGTAAAGCACTTTCTAGTTCAGAAAACAGAGAAGAAATCACTGTGGTCTACGACAGGATTTGAATCTTTGCTTTCAAACTTTGAGTCCGAGGAATTCAATTCAGTCTTTCCATGGGTTTGTAGCTCTATGGTCTTTCCGACCAATCTGAGCTGCTTTGGTCCCCTAAAAAAGAACAGGTCAAAAAGTATGGATCCTGGCACAATAAATAATTCCAACATCATTATGAATTTACATTTCAAATGACGGCTTTAATCTTTTCCAATGTTTTCCTTTTTAAGCACATTTTTCAGAACTTTGTCAACACGTGACAAAGACCACAAGAAGGATGAAAGCAATTGCTTACATGTACAGTCATTGAGTTGACATATTACAAAATCCAAGTTGAAAAGCTCTCTGTTAATTTCACCCTTTGCTAAAAACAGCAGCAATGTGGAGCTACACCTGATCCCTATCCTGACGCAGCCCAACTGAAAGTTGACACAGATTATCAAATTAATTTTCTAGATAAGGCTATTATTACAAGCCCATCAGATTGGCTGGTATCAGTTAAACATACTCCTAAAGTTGTTAGCCTGTGTCTGTCAGTGCCTAATCAGTGTCCCCAAACCCCCTGCAGCAAATCACTGGGCCCAAAGTCCCCCCCTCCCTTTTACCTGACAACAGCTAATCAGGGAGTTACTAAGTACATATACTACAACAGGTATCCATGTATTGTGTAACGATGAGGTGTCATAGACTCTATTGTTGTTTGTTCACAGAGTGACGTATCGAGAGCCAGACCGTGGGAAAACTCTCCCAGCTCCTCTTCACTTTGCTAGCACAATGGGTGTCCTTTAGTGCGGGTAATCCTGCACTACAATTGCGCATACCTGGATCCCTCTGTAGGTGTGTATTCATGAAGTGGGTTTGACTTGTTGACGGATAGTGCTGACTTTAAGCTAAAGGCCGAAACGTCCAAAGTTCTATTTTAGTTTTTTTCCCCTCTTCCTTTGCGGATCTGTGACCTGTTCAAATTCATTCTTTAAATGCCAGCGCACATCTTCCTCACAAATTGGCATTTTTCTGTCTTTTGAGGTTTTTTGTTTGTTTGCTGTTTTGTTTTGTTTTTCTGGTTGGGTATCACTGACCTCCATCCACATTCCAAGAGAATTTTTGGTTTGGGGATGTGAGAAAGTGGGTTGTTGCCTCACCTCTGTGACCTTCAAGTAGCAACCAGAGTAATAAACAGGAGTTTCAAAAGTCGACTGGAGAGACCAAGAGCAGCAACAACCAAAACAAAGGTGTTGGCAAAGCTAAGCAGGTTCATAAGGTGCTCAAGTGGAATTCCAGAGATTAAAATCCCACAAACAAAAACAGTCTGAGCCTTCTCTGATGGATAGCTGCACTGGCCGACCCTGGTTACTTGACATTTTCAGGTAAATCATTTCTTAAAATGTTGCAATTTAACACTTTGGATCAAAAGTTTAATATTATTTTTCTTTAACTCAGGAGAGTTTAAAGAGATAGGGTTGAAACATTAGCAAGGAAGTAAAATGAACATCCAGGCATACGTGTAATTGATTGTAAAATAATCAAAAGAATCAACACTCTCACTAAAGCCACCAAATTGTGGCAAACACTTCCACTATACAGAGCCTGAGTCCTATCCAAAGTAAATCCACAAATTCAAACCGATGACACGGCAGGACTGGGGACTGCCATAACTGCATGTACCACTACTTCCTGTTGTGAATCTACAAACCGCATGCACTCCCTTCGATTGTGTTTCCCATTGTGGGAACTCAGAAACTGTCAAGTTCTCATTGACTGTTCTTGTTTCCCTTTTACTTTGGCCTTCCCCGCTGACAGTTTACTTGAAAAATTAGAATTTCCTTTTCTCATTTTGACTTTGGATAGGTGCCACAAGCACTCAGGCCATGTTCCCATAGAAGGCTGGCAAAATGCCAAATTTGTCATTCTGTAAATTAATACAGTAGAAAGAACAAATTCTTTCAAGGAAACAGACATTGTAAATATTTATGACAGAAATTTTAAAAAAAGTTTGACATTGAAATTGTTGAGACAGATCCAATTTTAGATTTAATTTCCAACTCCTTGTACTTCAGAGGACACAAATCAGTCTGAACTACTCTACCCTGCTTCAAGTACTAAAGTTTCATTTCGAAAGTATAAACAAATAAGTTACTTTCCATTCATCAAACAAGAAGGTAAAGGGTATCACTGACTATTTTTCTTTCAGGTTGATTTGCAGTTTCAGTTTAGTCAATCCTGCTTTCACACCGGCTCCACAGAAATAACAGAGGGATTCCCTTTCAAAGCAACTCCACCGCTCAAGCCACCAAGTGGATTTTCATGTTTTACTGAACGGTGAATAACAATAATAAGAGAAAATCTCAAACATGTCTTTCGTCTCCAAGGACCCACGTGTGCTTTGGAATGTAAGAGAGTTCTCAACAGTGAGGGTCAGTCACATGTTGCGTAGGCCCAACTCTGCAGTGGCAAATCCAACATGCCACAGAATACATGAAAATTAAAACAAACACATAGAGTGTACAGATTAACTGCAGATTGTTGGAACAAAAAATAAGCCCCTCCTGGTGAAGGTGCAATTTTGTCAATTTCTTGTTTTTTTTAAAGGGGAGATGGTCAACTTCCTGATTCCCGCTGAATTACCCAAAAGAAACATGGTTTCTATCAAAGGGCTCTCCAACTGGTTAAACTGGAAACAATGAGAACAGTAATAAATACAGATCAATACATAAATGGATATGACTTTTATGGCATTAACATAAATTATACCTTAACATAACTTATAGCTTAAATAAAGAAATTATGCGAAAAAAAAATTTTTCTAAAGTTTATCTAACTTAGTTTGTAGAGCTGTACTTGTATATTAACATTATGATGAAAAACAAACTAACACACTAACCCCCATCAAAACAAAAACAAAACCCAAAACCAAAATAAAACAAAACAAACAAAGGAGGAGGGGACAGCAGCAAGCCTGCAACTCCCATCCAGGCTAAAACTTAAACTGGGCAACTTTCAGTGGGAATATAATTCATGATGGCAATAATTGTCTAAATGGCATGGGAGATTGGGTCTTGGTGAAAGAGGTGATCACGTAGTAAAGAATTAAGGAAGTCTTTTGGAGAGAGTTCCAGACAGAGATTTTGGAGGTCACCTGGAAGTGAATTGAACAATCTTGGAAAGAGAGTAAAAACAGAAAATTTCACAGAGTTAGTACGCCAGTATTGATGTTTGAAGAACAACGAGTCCATCTTCCTTGTGTTGGGCTGTGGAAGAAGGTGTGACGGGATATTAAAATATTTGTAGAGGCATTTGATGACAAAAGAAATACTTAAGTCATCAAATACCTCTACAAATAAATTTATTATTTGCATGCATTTGTGAAAATCATTCACCTCCCTCTGCATATGGAACTTACACAGAAGGGAACAAATTAATGTGATCTATATTAACATCACATATACATACACTGAAGAGATACGCGTACATGTACCTCAAATGAACGTAAAATAGGTAATGGTGGTTTATGCGTGTCACAAATGCATATTTCAAAGGGGAAAAGTAGATCAACCCCAACTCAAAATTACAATTCATAAGAAATGGATTATGTACAGTACTTAATTTATGTCCATAACTTGGAGTTTGGAAACCAAATAAACTGAACAAGTATTCTATTTTCTATTTATCTGCTGCATACTGTGCACCGCACATTCTGCATAGCCAGGCATTTGTTGTACAACTACAAGACCAAATTAATGCACACCTATGTACTGGTACTATTTGTGTGGCTATTTATGCTGGTTCTATCTATGCAGTTACTTCACTCTGCACGTACACTGTGTAAGTATGCCTGACTGTTCATCTGTCGAGGTGATCAGGGAATACACATAACCGTAATACCACAGTGCTGAAGGGCGAGGAAAGTTGAAAGACCTCTGCTCTTGTTTGAAATCATTGTAAATTTGATAATACGTTTCATATAGACACTGGAGAGTGAGTTTTGACATCACTTTATTCACAGAAATGGATGGCATGCTAATGGCATGATACATAGACTGTGTAGGCCTACTGACCGTTGAAGTATTAAATTTAAATTTATTCTAACTATTTGAGGTGAAATCAACAGAAAATTTGTACGGTGTGCGTAGTCTTGCACTTGAAAGGAAGTTTAGGATCAAAACTAAAATGTCTGATGTGAAAAAAATGCACTGTGCCATTTTTCCAAGTCTAATAAAAATTGGAACTTTGCCAGCTCACCACATGCATGACATGACATGGTAAAATGCTAAAATAACAAATATGTGTAACTACATTTTTTCCAAATCCCTATTTCATACACTTGTAAAACAACTACTCTTCAATCATACTGTTAGCAAAAGAAAATAAGTTCACTCCAATAACTAGCCAAAAGCAAAAAGTATCTCCTCCAACTAAAAGGCAACTGTATGATGAAATTGCTGTCGTACTCAGTAATTACCACTCCGCTGCTGGCATGGCTGGATTTCCAGTTAATTTAAAATTACCCCATCCATGCCCCATCCCAAACTAAAACAACAGCTGGCTAAAACAGCTTTTATTGGATTTTTTTTTCTTTTTTGGACACGTACCTGGTTGAATGCAAGGAGCAGTCCGGCGACTAGGCCTACCAGCAGAAACAAACTTCTACGTCGAAAGCCAACCATGCCTGGCCAACATACCGCGGCCTCTGCTTAGTACATGTCCTTGCCGCTACGAGATCATGCTGGATGACCACCGCACCTAAGCTAGACATCGGCGAAGCGGCACCGGCTAAAGAAACCAAGTCTTCCCACACTACTTAACTTGTGCGAGGCTCGTGTAGTTAAGGACCACTGGCCACACATGGGAGGCCCATAATCAAGTATCAGAAATATCGAACTGGAACTCCTAGACCCTTGCAATGTTGAGCCAAAACCAAATATTCAACTGGTAAACACAACCAGGTTTTCAGGAAAAATTTGTCATCTTCCCTGGCAACTCAAGTCTCCTCTCCCGGCGTCCAGGTAGAGCGCTACGTCAGTCGTGAATGGAGAGCCCGTCGCGCGTGTACGTCCAATGTGTACACTTGGCTATTTTGGTCTACGCATTTCACGATACCATGTGCCAGTCACTGCACGAAATGCACATCGCACACCAAGTTCCAGGATGTGTGCACTTCATTGGCGGCGCTATGAATGCCCGCAGCATGCATGAAATGTGTCGGTGTGCAAAGTATACGTCAGCTGCATAGGCTATTTTCATTTGGCTGCAACTTCTATGGGCAGCCATGCAGAAACTATACCACCTTTGGTAGCTTCTCGATTTCAACCTCCAATTCGTTCCAAATGGACTTTTGCCCTTTTGCTTTAAAATAGGGTTGTATTGTCGTTTAGTATAACTTAGTAAAACGTGTACTATCATCTGGTGTGATGTGTGGGATTTTTAATACTTGATGAATTATTCTTTGACTTTTGAACCGACGACCAACGAAATCAGGTGAGTTGGTCTGAAATAGTCTGAAATGGTCTCTGGGTCACACGAACAGGGCGTAGCCACGGGAAGGGGCTGGCGGCAACGCCCCCCCCCCCAAAAAAACGAGATAAATGGATGAATGAATATTGAACAAGGCTAACAAAAGCTTGCTACACAAAAAAAATCACTGAAAGCTGGTGCCCCCCTCCTATAAGATGTTGGTGCCCCGTTGTGCCCCCACTAGTAAAATCCTAGCTCCACCACTGCACCCGAAACTGTACACAATGGCATAGCTTCATTCATTTTCTTGCATATGCGCTACAATATTTAGACATTCCAATACTTTGCACTGGTGAACGAACAAACCGGGAGTGAATTGTTTCACTAAATGATCATGCTAAGGCTTACCAACTTTGTTTTTGGAAGTAGTGAAACATTTCTTTGGCTGTGAACGTGAACTTCCAGATTTTCCACTCAGCTCCAATGAAGAAACGACAGAAACTTTTGAAAACTGCAGCCCGCAGGTCTGGTCTGGTTGGGGCGGGTGATGAAGAGGGAGGCAAGAACTATAGGCCCTGGTTGCACTGCCGAGCTTGTGTAATGGCCAGCTTTTTCATGAACCTTGTTACATCGGTGGCGTGGCTACAGCTCCCCCAAAAACCGACTTGTCCGGAGGGCCAGACCCAGAGGTTCTACAGGGGGCAGTTGCCTCCTCCCGCTTGTTCCTGTTGGGCTACGTCACTGTTCAGGCGAGATCAGAATTGTAGTTCTTTTGTTCCCCTCTTGGAACCTGATGAAACTTAAGGACTAGCCGGGAGCCTAGTTGGACACCGTTTAAGTTTGTTCCATAAATTTCCGTCACGAATGCAATACAAACACAGCAATAAAAACGGGAAAACCAATTTTTTAAATCAGTCAGCCATCCAATTTCACTGACGATCAAATCTGCAGTTTTCTTTTTTTTTTCTTCTTTTTTTCGCTGACGGGGCATTTAACCGACATTTCAATCATGACTGCAAACGTTCGTTTTCGTTTTGGTTTATTCTGATTCGATCTGGATTATTTAATGCTTCGTTTGTGGCACGGCTGCATCTTTGGACGCTTGGTTCATTCAAATAAGCCCACGATGATTCGTATCATCGATATGGCCATGCCTTTCTTTTTCTTATTCGTTTAAAGGTAATCGTTTCATCAGTCTGTTCTAATTAGTGATACTGTAAGTCAATACATTAATTTCTAAATGTTCTTTCGGGGTTCATTTAAGAAACTTTTGGGTCGTTGAAATTTAAAATCATAAATGTGAAAACTAATATCACCGAAATAATGGCAAGAAAATGGCTTTAAATTTTCCTTGTCACCAATGATCTTTACGGATATTATTACTGCTAACGGGTCCTTAGGGAGACATTCTCATAAGAACGTGCACAAAATTTTTCCAACTTTACTGTCCCATAATTCAATATTCCCTAATCTGATATGAACCAAACTTTGTATGTTTTCAATTTAGACCCTAATCTATCATCTCTCAAACTGTGGACGATAAAATTCGGCCTCCTTCTGATAGTTTGAAAATAGGGAGACACTGAAATGCCTCCCTGAAAGCCAATGTCTCCCTAATGCTGAAAAATTTACCACGAAATGTCTCCTAAATGACCTATTTGTAAATATTTTGACTGACCCTTGAAATCATAGCTTTCAAAATAATGAACAATCTTGAGAAAAAAATCTGGATGTTGACGGGTTCATTACGTTTTATTTACTTTGTTTACTGTTTATTTTGCTCTGCCTTTGTAAGTTCTTTGCTTCATCCATTGGTTTCTTGACCCGAAAGACACTTGACGTTGGTTGAACCATTGGAAATACATGTAGTTCTCTTGCCAGTGGATAATTTCTTCCATTTGAGATTGATCCGCCGGTCTCTGCGAAATTGCCATGACCGATGCCACAGCTTCCATTTTCAAAGCTTCTTTTATAAAAACGATTGGAATTTAAAGACGATGGAATGCACGGACAGTGAAATTGAACGGTTCTTTTCTATTGTTGAATGACAACCGACGTGGTCCATCAATTTGCCGAGGCGCTAAATTGAAACTTTCGTGGGTATTCGCGCTCAGCACGAACAAGTCACTCTGTGAAACCCTTGGTGGCGCCCTGTAAATTTATACGAAATGTCCATGTCACGAGTGAAATGACAAAATGTAGTGGATTGGGCACTAATTTCGTTGACACAAAAACAGACCAATCCTGAAATAAAGTTGGGGTAAATTAGCCATTTCGGTTATGGCACTGTCACCAACCATTATCAGAACAGCAAGGCAGATGGTTTTGCAGTCATCTCTTCATAGATACTGTGGTAAGATTTTAAAATGTTAGCAGCGCAACAACGGCACCTCTACAGTTTATATCTGGAAGCGCGAAAAAGTGTTTGTTTTCAATCAATGATTTCTGCCCTTTTTGTGCATCAAATTCTTTATTTAAAAAAGCAGTTGTGTTGTAAAAAATCGGAAGTTATGTTAGTACCATTCATTATGTCTTTTGTGTCGAGTTTTGCGTGAAAAGTATGATGAAAATAATGTAAGATCGGAGCCACTTACACTGCGTCAAAAAACTCTGTGCGGCCATCTTTGTTTGTTGTCGTGTGACATAGTCTCGTCTAAGCCTAATATCTCGTGAAACTCAACCGGGTTTGGAACGATGATGTCATCATCTTGTAGAGCTTAAAATTCTCTTTCATTTGATGTATGACTCGAGGCATTTGACTAAAGCACTGTCAAGCCTTGTTTTGGTTTGTGAAGACTACAAAAACTTTTTAAAATGTGCATTTTTCTGTTGAAAATCCCCCCAAAACATGTATAAGGAGTTGATGAAACGTTTGAAATGGTGTTTATTTGGAAGCTTGGAATTTCAGGAAGAAAAGGAAGTTGTTTTTTGACAAAAATTGATGTCGAACCTGGTGGCGAACAGCCCTTTTGTATTGGGGTGCTGTCGTGCAACTGTGCATATATGGTGTTTGTATGTGCATCAGATTGGTGCATGATGTACGGGTAGCAAGATGCAAATAACAAGTGCATAAACCACACGTGTTGTTTCAATCAAATGTTATCAAAAGATCCTGTGGAACACAAACAGACTTTAACTTATGACACCTGACAGACTTGGTCCCTTATTTTTCTAATTATTTATTGATGACAGAATATGACATCAAAACTATGCTTCAGTGATCTTTCACACATTACTAAAAATTTCAAGCCCGACTCGACTGACTGTTACTGTATACATGTACATGTATCCTGTGTTTATTATTGATAAAGTTTTCTATAATAAAAGATACAGTTTACTTTACACTTCCTCTGTGACTTAACTACAGATCTTTGTCCAACTCTGGCATGTCTGGAAGTGGAATCAATGAGGAGTAAGACTCCATGTGGTTCAAATACACTGATGAAAAGAAAAATTGTGCCCACCCCAAAAAGTGACAGACTGATAACACCTATTTTTTAATAACAAAAAAATTCATAACTTCACTATACTTGCAGCTATTGAGCCAAATTTCATACCATTCAATTTCTTTTGAAATTACCTTTCCAATGGTACTAAACTTGTGGGGGTCAAATAAAAAACCTGAAAAGTGCCAGAATCCCTAGCAATAGCACCCAGCTTAGCCCAGGCAGGTGGACTACGTTCCTGATGTTACGGGGGGAGTCCAGGATATAAAGGATGCAAAATCGGGCGAAAAATCTTATTAACTAAACTTTTCAACACTTCTACCTTTTCCAAGGTGCCAATTTCAAGTCTGTAACTCCTATGCATCCTTATCTCCACAGCTGGTGGGATAAGAAATTCGACACATCACCACCAAAGACGAAAACGGGAAAATGAAGTTGGACGTAACATTAATTCTTGCCATTGTTGTGGACTGTTTTCAGCCGTTTTCCAGTGCAGTTCTTACAGTACGATATTCCGAGCTGCGTACACGCACATCGAAACTGCATGTTCTGACTGGAACCAGAGAAAATGAAGTCTAACCGAATCCATTTGTTTCGAAAATGCTCACAGAAAGCATGTAATGCGCAACGTGGTTCTCAGCCATGAGTACCATTGAACTGCGCTCCATGCTGAGTACACACAACATCAGGCAGGGGGCCAGGTGAGGCTATGGCCTGCATTGGTGACATCTTGGCCTAGTTACCTGCACGCAAGCCGAGTCCAGTACGGGAAAGCTGAAATTTATCATGTGTACAAATTCTGGCCATTTTTTAGCATGTACTATGTGTTAACAGGTGGACTTAAAATAGAAAGACCAAAGGTGTTCACAAAATTCGATACAGTTAAGGGACTCCCGGCAGTTCCGTGTCGAGGGGAGAGGGTATTAAATCCAGCAAGGCTTTGGCACATTTCTGTTGCTAGCAATTTACTCAAATCTGTTTATTTGTCCCATTTTAATAAAAGTGATACCAAATACTTTTTAGAGATGGAAATCTTTTCCAAAACTCGCTGGCACAGATAATTTTTTTAAAAATAAACTTATATGAGAGTACAAAATGGTGATTAACAATTATGATCTCTTGGGCCTGAATTTAAAAATGACAAATCACCTATTTTGAGATTGAGTATTTTGAAATTGCACATCGTTGGGATCCATCACTCGATAACCAGTCAGAGCTCCAGCATGACCATAAATGTCAACATCCCAAGCCAATGAAATTTAAGCCCACTGACAAAACTGTTCGGCGACATTTCTTCACTGGTGAAAAACATTGACAAGAATATCAGAAGGCACTTATGATTACAGAGAACTCCAAACAACTACATAGTACACATGCAGTTGAGTTTCCATCTGTTTGATGTAGGCCTACGTGAGGCTGAGGGTTTTAAGAGAGCATCTCCCCAACCCCCCCCACCGTATGATTATGAATTAGGAGATTTTTAAAAACATCACTATCTGTCCAATTCTCTAAAATCCAATTTGTCACTTCCAATTACCAATTAAGTCTGATTATTGTGTGTTTAGTTTACGAATTAAAAAAACGGAAAGGCCGATCAACAGCACGATTTGTGCATGATCGTTACTTACCGCACCTGCGCGTGCCAGTACTGCCTCTGCATACTGTGTTCCCGGTCAGTATAGCATCACTCTCACCTGTTCATCACAATCATCATGCCCGCAATGTAATCCTCTCTTTTATTTTTCAATTATCAAAAAAGTTACTGTTTCATTTTAATAAAAATCAAATCTCTACAATATTATGTATTTATACTTCTTTGACCAATAAAAACTCTACGAACGAATTAAACATGTTAACCCTAACACTCCTCAGTCCTCCAACAGGTGAAAGATTGAGGAGGGTTAGGGTTAAACAGTTCAAAGAGAGATTGTTGATGAACTTATTCCTGTACAAGAACCCTGCATATACAAGGACTTCTACGCTAACCGAGGTTATTCTTATAAAATAGCAGGCTGTGTCACAAATTTATGTTTATAAACCAAATATAAAGCTGAACAAAATATTAACATTTAAGGGATAACCTATAGGGGGTTAATTGGTCATCCTGAAGCCCCCGATCTGACAAAAACGGAACTGCAATTTTCTTATCGGCTCGACGGCACGCAGGTTAAAGCCGAATATCAGTCATGGCCTCTGTGTAGCAGGCATGCAACAGATCTTCACTGGAAATGCGCATGCCTAGTGCGTGCACGCAGCTCAGATTCCATGTGCGGGCCCTTTACAACTCGATGAATTAAGTCTACAAAAGTAACATTGTCTTTCACTTATTTTCCTCAATTTTGCAGTCCATGGTTCGTTCTGAAATTCCAGATGGGTAGATAAGGCCATAAAGAACTTGTAAATGTGAAAAATTTGTTTTTTCAAAAAGTTAAACCAAGAACAAATAAGAACCAAATTTGTGGTCATTTTGTACACAGTTTTTATACCCAGTCGTGATGAAACGAAGACAACGTCCAACCTGGGCTAGGCCTAAGCCCTAGCACTGCAGTAAGGCAGCACTGACTGGGCCAGGGATTGAAAATTTGGGACCCTGTTCCCATAATAGAAGGGAGAGCTACATTTTAAATTTTGATTTCACCTTCGGACTGATTGTGACATAATGCGCAATAACTGTAGGGTTAATGTTGTCAAAAAAGGGCAGGGGTTTGAGTTTTGAGGCAAATTATGAGTGGAAACTGTGAGTGTTTTAACACATGAGACTTGGCGTGCATTACCCCCAGAACTGCGGGGTCTGACGTCCGCCTCACTGCCATGAACCCCACAGAGCGGGTTGGACATCAGACCCCACACTTTTTTGAAGTTTTTCCCGTCATTTTTAGGGTTTGTGCACAGGGTGTGTATCGCAGCATCCGTAAATGCGTTTGAATGAATGAATTTGAATTTATTCAAATTCCATTGTATGACATGGACATTTCACTTGTCTTTTGACCTTTGGTTTTTGGTTTCCCATGTATCATGAAGGAAAGCCCATCTTTGCTTCGAACACCAAAAGCATCAGGCATCACTGGAGGTTTTCCAAAGCAAACACGTCGCCGCTGCTGACATGGGTGGGACTGCGAGCAATGTGCACTCACCAGGAGGTTGACAAACAGAGTAAGAATGAAGACAAGGGCAACCCAACGGCTGAGCAAACAGCAGGAAAGATCCTTCCACAGGGCCCACAGAAAACCTCACAAGGGACAGGGGACGCGAAGAAAGATGGGCTCGCCCATCAGGCCAGTAGTGAAAGTATACCAACTCCAGTCAAGACGGGTAACTCATGTTTTTAATGCTCAAAGATTTAGTAAAATCTCTCTTCCATCCTCACTCGCTTTTGTCTCTTTCTATTTTCTCGGGTGTGCCTGTCCATGCCATTTGTACCTCATTAAACTTTGACCTTCATTGACAAATTGTTTTAATGGGACGTCAAGATTTGAGTTGTCTTCATATTCATGTCCATTTGGTGCCCTCACTTACCATAATGAATCCTGATCTAGTGTTATAGCTACACCAGTCTAAGCACTAAGCTTGATGATGTAGCCCATCGACTGGCAGAAAAATCCTTAATAATCCCAGAAAAAACATTAGTCCCTATGAAAGTGTCATATTTTTACCTGGAAGAATTAAAACAATTTGAACTCTTAATCAATTTGGAAAGAAAAACTCATTGAAAAAGCGATTTAGAGTCCCCTTGAGCGGACCCCTGGACTCCGGCTGTGACCTGCTAGACTCCGCTCGCTTCGCTCCCTCTGTTTGCCATTACCAAATTGTCCTACACTAAAATATGGCTGACTGTAACACTGTCCTGACCTATCCAAATCCCTTCAAATCCATCAGGAGTTTCGGAAGGGTTACTACACTGAATCATCGGGAGACAGAGTTGTATTTTTCCTGGGCCTTGGGGACTTTAAGTTATTAAGTCGGAAGAATGTGCTGTTGGGTTGCTGAACTGACAGACTTTGGAGGCTCCAGGAAGGTTCCTGTGAGAAATACATAGAGTTGAAGAGAAATACTCTTTAAAACTTGCTTAAAAATTTATATGTGTATCCGACTGTAGTATCTATGAATTTGTGGCCTGGCCAACACCCTGTTGAGGGGACAGTTGTGGGGACAAGAATTTGTCTATGTATGTGTAATTATTTTGGTCTCTCCAACTATTCCATATGTGTAGCCTTCCACTACCACCCAGAGTGAGTTACAAATCATGACAAAATTCACTCACAAATCTCTGCTTGTTTTTCTTTTCTTTGATCACAAGTTCCGGAATGGTTCCTTCCGCACAAAAATTGGATAATCAGTATAAACCAATTTTGAAACATTTGTTCTGAGTGCATTTCCTTTTGATGTTGACACATTTGCTCAGTAGTCAGATGATATTTAATGATGGTTCAATGTAAATCACATGGACAGTACTCAGTGGACAATAACAAGAAAGTTTCGTACATGGAATGAGTCATGTATAAGTCGAGAAGCCACCGTTCCTGTTCTTTCATCACCAGTCTCATACAAGGACAAGAGGAGGAGAATTGACTACAGCAAGAAGTACACAGACAACATCACCATCACAGCAGTGCGTGCTATGAATGAGTACCTCCTGAAGTCAAGGTTAGTTCCCATGCTGTGCTGGAGCTTTCCTGCTCATGCAATTTTAAGAAGTCCAGTCCCTTTTTAAATAATAGACTTTCATTTCAGGGGCTGTTCCAGATTTTAGATTATGCTTCAAAATTCGTCAAACTTTTCAAAATGCCTGTCGTTAATCTACCTTTAGAAGCCCCTTGAGCAGTTTTGCTCACTGAAAAGAGAGTTTGTTTTGACCCACCATTCCAAAACTAGGCTGATGAATTATATGCTATTATCTTGAAAGTATGTATACTTGAGCAATGTAAAGTCCTCAACGTTTACTTCAAACAGACAAAATATCGTTAAAAAAACCAAAAATTTTGACAGTGAAAAATTAGCAGTGCAGGGAGAGAAATCTTCAGTTATTTATTTATCCTGGTTTTAGGGTATTTGTCTATTTGCAGAGGGGGAGTTCTCATTTTCAGTGAAAAGCTTTAGCCTGAGTGTCCACAAAATATTGTTGGCTTGGAGACCACATTGGCTTTGTTTTAAAGGTATTGACAAGCCTTGTAGTACAGAAACAACCACAGTAAGGAAGATGGAGCTACAGGATTTGATTAGTGTCTCTCTTCAACTTGTTTCCATAGCGATCTAGAGCAACTTCGCAAAACTTCAAGGAGAAGCCCTTATGAGCAGCAGGGGAACTCAAATGCCATGATGGTTTATCTCAGATCTGATGTCGAGGCAAAGTAAGTCGCCCGTCCGAAATTACTGTAAGATGTACAGTGTTTGACAGTCAGCCCCAGACCCCATTCAGTAACATGTCCGCACTGTCTTTCCTTCTGTCTGGACCCTGTCTGATTGATTCCATTTTGATCATCAGAGCAATTGAGGTTTGGGGAAGCAAGGAGGCCTTGGAGATGGAGAAGAAGAAACGGAAACAGAGAGAAGACATCTACAAAGAGCGTGAGTACTAATGCCAAGCACTGTTGAGTGACTACCGCCATCTCATTCCCGTATCATGGCAGTTGGATGGTATCGGGGTCTGAGGCGAACTGGGCCTAATCAATCTGCCAACATTTCTCCACTAGTGTCTAGCAAAGATGGCGCTATCTACCAAGCCTAGCTAAAACCTGGTAACACTGAATGTTAATATTGGATTATGTTTAAGCTTACAGCTGTCTTGACAGTCTCAAAAAGACCATTATTATAATCGGTGTTGTAGTAGCGTACTTTTCTATGAGTATGAGTTATTTTCCTTGAGTATGAGTGCGAGTAAGAGTACTTTGGTGAGAGTACAAGTACAGGGAAATTTTTCTTGAATGAATGAGCATGAGTACTGCAACACTGGTTGTAATCCATTCATCAGCTGTCATTACAAGTCATCCTGCTTTAAGCCAGAAACTTTTTAAATAAACTCTGACGAGGGCATTCCACTTTCATGTTTCATCCTTTTTTACCTCAGTATTGGTCACCTGACTTTCTGATTTTGTGACCCGACTCTTGATTGAGTGATTGACAGGGCAATAAACCAATGAGTCATTTCGGTATTTCTAACACCCAAGGGCTTTCGGGAAGAAAGAATGCACGTGAGTCAGCGTATGGCTGCACTGATAGGACATACCGAATTGACTCTTTTTCTCAAAAGCAAATTTGGGGTTCATAATTTGAACAGAAGATCCCAAAACTGATAAAAAAAGTCTTCTCCAAATGACATCATGGTAACAGCACCCTCATTTGCCTAGAATAGCATAGACAATTTCAAATGTTCAAAGAACTGCACTTGTCAGTGCATTTCAACCAAGAGGGATGTCAGATAGTTTTCATACATTAAAGAGGAGGAGAACGTTGCACAAAGTGTCCATCTAATAAAATTTGACTAATGGACCCTTTGAGTGGATGAATGGACTGTCAGAGCCCATTCACAAGGTGCACTGGATGACATCTAACGCTTATTTACCACAGGTGGAAAAACAACCTAAGTACTACTGTGCCAACCTCATTAATGTCACTGGCGTAAAAACAATTTATAATTAGAGTAATTTTGCTATTTTTAATCAGATGTGTTCCTGCTAAAGAGAGCAATGAAAGAGTTTGATTCCTTCTTTGGGGAAGCCAAACCGGTGAGTGACGCCCCTTTTTTTCCCCTTTTGTGACTGTAAATGAATGCAGTTCTGATGACAGACCTGGCCTGTTTGGGTCAAATGTTTACTGTCAATTCTGGCTGCTCAACTCTAAGCCTTTAGACAGTGCCTAAGTTTATCATTTCAGCAAAACATTTGAAGACCCATCCCAGTTGATGCAGTTAAGTGCACACGTGCATAACAGTTTAAACGACTTCACAGAAATATGACCATTTGTCTCGATACTTTGTTTTTCCTAGCCCAAACAGAGCATGTTTGAAGGAGCAGGCAAAGTGGTTATGTCAGCCATAGTCATGTGAGTCCACCTGTAGTTCAGGGAATGGGAGGGGGGGTCCTGCAAGAAGAATTGAAATTGTACAGCTTACAGTTAAATTGAACTTTGTGATATTGAGTTTTGTTTGTATTTATGACAGCTAACCCTAACACTCCCAAATCCTCCTATTTCAATATGATTTTACATACACCCTAGGGGGTTAGGGTTAAAGGTCACTTTGTTGTTGAATACAGAGGAAAAAAGCGTTGTCTTAAAATTTAAAAGACGTGCGTCCAAATCGAAAAGAGAAGCTGGAAAAAGTGCCTTACTTGCAAACGTCAAGTAAACACTAAATACGAGCGCATAGGATTGCTGATGAAACACAAAATTCCATGTGCGGTTGATGAGCACAGTAAATTTGAAAAAAAAAATAACTCAGGTATTTTCTTTTGCATGTGATGAATACACCCATGTAAAGGCATTTTTTCAAGGTTTTGACGGTGACCAAGGGATTAATTTTCCATGGTGGTTGAACGTGCTTCCCTGTATTGCATAGCATCATGACAGCTAATCCCCAAATGGTTCTTTTGTTCAACACATGCTGAAACCCTGCAAAGAAAAGTCTGGAGGAATACCTGCTAAACAACCCAGCTTTACTGAGTCATGTCTGATTTCTTCTGGTTTGTTCTGCTTCCAGTAACTCGGCTAACTTCTTGTTCAAGCTTGTCGCCTGGATTTACAGCGGTTCTTCCAGTATGTTCTCCGAGGCCATCCACTCGGCCGCCGACGTCTGCAACCAGGTCATTCTGGCCTTGGGAATCAGACAGTCCATCAAGGGACCTTCACCTGATCACCCGTAAGACACTGGGGATACCTGTAAGGAGAGCGAGCCTGTTCAGCCTTGAACTCCCTGAGTACATTTGCTGGGAAACTGTGAACCGATGCTAATTTGAAGTCCCCACTATCCTGTGCCAACATGCGCTTTCTTTATCTCTCCAGGTATGGGTTTTCCAGTATTCGCTATGTGTCTTCCCTCATCAGCGGGGTGGCGATCTTTTGCATCGGCGCTGGGTTGTCCTGCTACCATGGCATCATGGGATTGATCCATCCCGAGCCAATGGAATCACTGCTTTGGTCATACTGTATACTTGCTGGCTCACTCCTGACAGAGGGAGGTATGTTGATTTTGCCATTTTCCTTATTGTCTTTATTTCCATATATGTCTAAAACATCTACACCAAAATTCTAAGAACAGCTGACATAGAAATTAAAAAGAATGACAAATAATTAAGATAATCACGGTTAAAATGTATGGTTAAAAGAATGTTCCCAATGCAAGGGAGATTTCTGAAACAATACAAAAAAGGGAAAGTCCACACAAGGTAGGTAAATCAAGTGTGGATAATAGTGTCTAATTTGTGTACCTTGAAAGCCTGTAGCAAGCTCATTTGGGTCAGTGTAAGGATATAAAGTGAAAACATGACCAACAGAAGTTACAGAATCCCCAAATTATGACACTGCATTTTATCCCTCTAGCCACATTTTCCATTGCGTACAATGCTGTTAAGAAGGGAGCCAAAGAAAAACAGCAAAGCTTCATGGAGTATGGTGAGTGGTGGTTTAATATTGACTTGCTCAGGTTAGGCCTAAATCATGAGCTGTACCAAGTAAGATGCCGTCCTAATGCTGGGAATAAAACAGGACTGGGGTGAATTTTCACAGTGCAATGATCAATGTACCACGCGGCACAATATATAATGAAGCAAGTCTGACCCAAGCCAATGTGGCTTGAACGGCCGGTGTTCTCTTGGTGTGAAAGGATTGGGAATACTTTTGTTCCTCCCTTGGATGGGATGACAGTCAATTGCAGGTTGCTCCCAAATTAATGCCTGTGCTCATTCACACTTCTGGGTAGAGAGAGGTGAACAGAGATCAAGGCCACAGCATACAGCCAGCAGATGGATTTGAACACCTGACCCTCTGGTTGTTGAGTCAGTAACCTTATCATTAGGCCATGTTTCCCCTCTGTACAATGTAATGCACTTACAGCTCATTATGTTCTGAAAATTCCCCCGAAAACTTAAATTTTCTAGGGGTAATTTTGCAATGAAGCAGTTTGTTTTAGAGAGATTTTCAATGTTACATGTCACATGTAATAGACCGATTGGTTAAAGGCCAGCTCAAACTTACGTGAATTTCAGAGGACGAATTTAAGAGAGTAATTTCATGTGTCACATTGAACTTGTTAATGTCTTACAATTTGCTTCATCTTTATGTCATGCCTGAACCAGTCCCTACTTTCATCAAAAACACGACTATTCACTGTGTATACCAGCGACATGAGTACAATGTATATTTTTTGGGGCAGTACTGCGGAGCCGAGACCCCAGCATCAATGTCGTCTTGCTCGAGGATGCTGCCGCTGTCCTAGGTGTGCTTGTAGCAGCTGGGTGTATGGGGTTGACATCTCTCACTGGCAACCCATTGTACGACTCCCTGGGATCTCTAGCCATTGGATGTATCTTAGGTTGGTTGGTTTAATAGTCAGTTTTATTAGGTGGGAAGTAATTTTTCAGTGCTTGTTATGATCTAGTATGAGAAAAAAGCACATCTTCTCTTATTTTGGTGTTGGTCTTTTGAAAATATTTTTCAGTTTTGTTGAGTTAAACCTATGCATATGACAAAAAGGAGCAGAATGTTTCTTAGTGCAGTTGATGAGATACTATGTTCTTGTGTAGTAATGGTTATGAATGTGTATGCATGCTTAGGTCAGTGGGAGCATACTGCAGTGTCAAGGACACATACCTACTGTACCTCCTGTCAAAAGATTAAAAAATATATTCCAGTCATTGTCTTCGTCAGTCATCCATCGCCAAATGAACTACCAAGCAGTGTTGTAGTCAAGACCTCTGAAGACTGCTTTATGACCTCTAAGGACCATCACAAGACCAACACAAGACTTCCATCGCAATTCAAGTCACAAGCTATTCAAATGAAGTGTCACTGTTCACCCTGTTACTTTGTGACTTGTCTTGTATCTGGTTTTCTATGGTCTCAACTATAGTATTGTTAAGAATTCACTGTTCAACAGGACCCTTCATTTTCTATCATGGGACATTTCTCTGTGCCATTTGTGTATCTGCATTCATGTATTTGCCTGTCTATCCCACCACAGGTTGTGTATCAATGTTCCTCATCTACAGTAACACAGAAGCTTTACTAGATCGCTCCATACCAGAGACTGAGTTGGAGAAAATAAGTAGTTTGCTGGAAAATGACGTCATGGTTAGGTAGTTATAGTATCTCATTTTCCTATTTGTTTCCTTTTTTGTGTCAGATTGTATTCCTTCAAGGATCAGTATAAAGTTGTCCATTTCATTAGCATGGATTTGCTGTTTTACAAGAATTGTTGCACTTGTAATGCTCTGGCACTTAGCTAGAATTTTTTGCCTGTTGCAAAATACGATTCCTGTCCTGTGAAACATATTCATTGTCCCCATGGGTGCCCGAGTGTCCTAATTTAGCTTTTCAACTCTCAAGTGATCTGCCACTCCATATTCCCGATGACGCTCCTGGTACTGTTGGAATGCGGTAGTACAGTGGTGCAATGAGCCACTAGACGTTTTCCAAAACTTGGCTACCTGCCTTGAGTGGAAACACCTCCTCATCGGTGGAAAAGAACTATGTTGGGGGAGACTGTGAAACCAAGTGCCATCCTGTTGGTAGTAACGTGTGTGTGAAGCGTGCAATCCATAATCGTTAGCAAACTGGCAAAGTGCAGTTCCCGCCAAAGGAGCCACCATTGCTAGGAAAACTGTGCCTTCTCTTTGTCCAGCTCGGGGCTGATAGTCAAGGCCCACTAGCACAATACAGTTTCATTTACTGCCACAGAGACATCCAGTTTTCTCATGCTAAGCCAGGAGCTCTGGGAGTATTTTCAGTTGGTTGCAACAGTAAACTAAAGACGGAGACAAAGCGAGTGTTGAAAAGAAAAAGAAAAAGGAAATTGACCTACGTGCTGATTTGAAATTGCCATTATGTTTATTTTAATTGCACATCTATCTGAAATGTGACTGTTGGTATCTGGACTCAATTGCACTGAACAGTAAGCAGCTGAGAAATAAACAAGAGAATAACAACACTGGACAATGATTGGTTTATTTTACACCAAGCTAAATAATTTCTGTGCTTAGGTAATTTCTGGGGTTAGCTTTTTTGTCTTTGACCCTTGAAATGGGCCCCTAAATAATTTGACATGCAACAAGATGAAAAAATCTGGATTTTCAGAGCTGTATTAAAGGGAGTCCCACACTATTCAAAAGCACAGTTCAAATCTTGTTTAAATACTAGTAACGAGGATGAGTGATGGCAGATGCATGCCTTTGTCACGTTTCATTTTTGCATTTCATTCAAGACTTGACAACAAAAGGCGACTTCATGTAATTTGATTTTTTGATAGGGGCGTGTACGATGTGAAAGCCACCGACATGGGCGTGGGCTTGATCCGGTTCAAGGCGGAGTTGGACTTTGATGGCAGGGAGGTGACCCGTTCCTACCTCGATGGGCAAGACCTGGAGAGCCTACTCAAGGTCAGGAGATGATGCACTTTGGCATAACTGTGGAAAAATTGGTGGTCTAGGATTTGATCTGTGCTTACCTAAACTCTCTCAGATGCATTAAGCTCATTATGACATGTTGGAGTCAAAAAAAGTTTTAAACTTAATTCACTTTCTGACCGAAAGGGTATTTATGAATGGGAATAAATGTATGCTGGCTTAGGAGAATGGTCTCTGATAATGCCCGATCCACAAATGAGGGCATTAGTTGCATTCATTCTCCTGAGCCAGTCTTCAATGTTGAAGACCCAGCCAAGCACATATCTATTCCTTTATAAATCTTTGAGGACAAGATTTTCCTTTGGTTTTTGACCATCTTGAACAGACGATTGACCACAGAGATGTCGTCTCTGTGGTCAGCCTTCTGTTCCCTTTGAGTTTCTGTCCTTGATGTTGGTACATTACATGCTAGTTTGAATGTCCTGCTTTCTTGTTTTTTAGTTTTAAGTCCATAAAGCAGCAATATCAAGAAAACGCCATTTTGTAACCTTTTTAAGGTTATTTGATCTTACATGGAAGGTCCTGGTTTTTTGGTTGCAAGAACACTCAGTTCTTCTTGACAGTGCCACTACTTATCACACGACATTCTCTCGATTTAACTTGGGGCATCTCCTTTGAATTGCAGGAGTTACAAACTTTCACAACCATGGAGGAGATTGAGGCCTTCATGCTAAAACACGGCGAGAGGATTATTGACGGACTAGGAGCAGAAGTGGATCGCATCGAGAAGGAAATCAGGGTGAGACTCTCAAATTTTTTTGGCCAAGATAACTGGCCTGGTTAGGTCAGCCCATTGGCCCTATGCTTAGGTTGGTTTGAAACTGGCACTGACGGCATGCTTGGGTCACTTACGTGGGATTCTTTGCATTTCTTGACACCACGAACATCTAACAAAAGAGAAACAGTGCACTAACAGCGAGTGTCCATTGTTATTGCAATATACGTCTTTAGTTACATATTCATAGTGCGAGCCCTGCGTGGGAGAAAAGTGTATCTGGGCACGCTGAGCCGGGTAACATCTTTCACACATGACAGAGTGAGTGTGGGCCAGATCAGTCGTCAATCATCATGCGGCACACTTGTGAAATGGTCATCTTTTTTGCCCCTGCAGAAATTGAACCCTGAGGTACGGCATGTCGATCTGGAGATCTTGTGAGATGATCACAGCAAGACATCCTGAAATACCTCACCGATGTGCAATATGTTGCCCAAGGACCATTGCCAGGTTAGACCAGCAGCGAGTGAAGCGAGCGTGCATGCATGTACATTGCTGGTTGATCATCCGTTGGTGTTAAATGCTCTTCAGCATAGGAACATTCTCATATAGGTCAAATGAAAGCAGGTGTTTCATGTTAAGCTGTGAACAAAAAATACAACTTTGGTTCTGATTTGGACATTGTAGCCACTGCATAGGTAGAAAACTTGTCCCAAATTATGCCATTTTTTCTGGTCAGTGGAGTCAATTAAAAGGCATCAAAGTAACACGCCACCACTGAAGGCATTTGGTTGGCCATGTGTGTCATACATTGTGAACTAGACAGTGGGGATCATTTTCACATATAACCGTGAATTCTCCTTCAAATGTTACCATGGTCACTACTTGTGCCATATATGGTTGTCATTGTCATTCCGATCCAGTGCAGGGTGCTAAAGCTCCCACACTGTTTGCCACATATCAGGCTTTGGAGATTTGCCGACCACGCGAATACTGTGCTCAGGGCTGCTGTCTTCATCTATGACAGTGGCAGGCATTATATCAGGTCCGGTGGGTCATTGAGAGCACCCTATTGGTAGATCAGCTTGAAATACATGTAGATGCATGCTTAGCCTAGCTGATAAATCTGTGAATTTACCCTGTACTGCCTATTTCATTAAATATCTAATGAGAACATAAAACTATGGGGGGGGAACCAATGGCACTCAGAATATTTTTGTCACAAATAAACAAACTTACCTATTCCATTAAAATGCTTTTACAAAGTAGTGATTCACACCATCTATTTCAGCATGTGCATGATTTATATTGTTTTCAGCAAAGTGCTGGCTGTTTTGTCATCGTTTAACATCTCAAGTCCAGATCTACGTTTAATATTTGACCACTTCCATTAAAAAAATGAAGAAACACTTCAATACCACTAGTTTACTTTTAACTCTGATTTCTGCATGTACTGATCCAATGGATCCAACTGATCCTTGGATTTTGCTGAGATACTTTTGCATCTTTCATGGTCATTTGTCATTTATGTCATTGGTCAAAACAGTTGAAATGCCACCACCATACCTTTAAAAATATGTTTTCAAATAACTAACTGTATTCTCTGAATGTTATTTCTGACTGAACCAGACTTCTTGAAAATAATATCCTAAAGGTCTTCGTCTGCAAAAATTTTTTAAAATTACATGAAAGGCAACACTTAGTTTCCACCTCTTAATGCCATATTAAAATAGTAAAAAAGCTTATAATCTGCACGAGTCATATGGAATATTGATATTTTTCCTTGCATTATGAATGGCTTCTCATGTATCTGTATGCACTCATCAAATTTGCATGATTTATGATCATAAATCGTTGAAATCACACATAGATTTTACAACTCGACTGTGGTACAGTTCTAGTCAAAACTTAATTTTGTTGAGATAACAAATCGGCTTCTTGTACTTGTTTATGTTTATAAAGTTCTTGTTTTTATGTTTGGTAATAAAATGTTGTATTAAATACAAACCTGAAATTATTCTTTGGGGTTCAGTTTTCCAGAGAAAGTTAGTACATGTACTATATTGCTTCAGATCTCCAGCCGAGTTTTAAGTTTAAAGTTATCCACAAATACCATGTCCTGAATACTCCTGGGTCGACTGAAAGAAATATAAAAACTTCTCACATGATGCAACACAAAAGCTCTCTAGGTGCGGCCATTTTCAGCATCAAATTTTTTATGTTCGGTCTTGATAAGCTGCTCCAGCTCATCCTGAGAGAAAAATAAAATTATAGCAACTGAAATGATAAGTGTTGCCAACGAAACTCAGACATTCACATTAACCAGCCAAGTGTTTGCTACTGTCTTGAATGCTAATCAGCCCTGTCACGAGCTTCAGGCATAAGGGGGGGGGCACACTACCAGGTAGGGGGCACATAACAAGAATAGATCATTTTGATTGTAATGGCTTTTGCCAATGCAGGGAGCAAAACATATTCAAAAACACTGTATAGAAAAACTCCATGGCATGTAGGTGATTTTTTTTTTTAAATAGCACTATTAACCACTCGCCACCAGGGTTCCTGGTACCAGAGACCTTGGCCATATATTCATGGCCGGGTGCCCGAAATCAGACCTTTGGAACTGGGCCTTTATTTATGGCCAGGGTGACCGAACTCGTAACAAAAGACCAAGCTGCAGGGACTTGCCAATCAAGGGTTCATGTGCTGTCAGGGCATTAGTGAAGGTAATCCATCTTTGTTTTTAAACAGTACCATTGTTTGCCACTGCCAGCACCCGCAGATTATCAGCGGGGACAAAAGCATTCTAGCACTCCAGCAATGAGTGATGCAATACCACTACTACATGCTCGTGGAATGCATTAGTAAAGACAACACCGCCGTCCAGCAATGCACTAGGCCAATTTCTGGAACAAAGAGCAAATTACGGAACACCACACAAAGGCGGCTCTTTACTGGGCGGCAGGTGTGGCTGCAATACTCACACGTCAATGGAGGTTGCCTGTCAGATAAGACTGGCCACAAGACAGTCATTCATTTGGGTGTACGCATCCAGTAAATAAAGATAAGTATTTTTGAAGAATTTTGAAACCGGAAAATCATGAAAAACTGCTCAGCAGAGGATCATGCATGCCGGTAACTCCACCCAGCATGAAGTGGTTAAATAAAACACAATAAGCCGTCTTGGCAGAAATGGGCTTTGTGCATGTGTGGGGGGGGGGGCTGGTAATCAGGATAAACCCAAAATGCCATCAGCCCTGCTTTAACCTTAGCATGGCAGACAAGAAATTTGATGTCATTCCATACCTTCCATCCGAGAAGTTCTGCTAGCTTGTAACATCCCTCATCGCAGGACCCAAGAAATGCAACATCTCTGAAATCAATAGTGAAATTGGTCAACATGTCAATGTGTAAAAGTAGAAAGCACATGTAAAATATGATTGAAGTTCAACTGCTTGTTCACAGCTTCCTGGGAGAGAGTTAGAAAGCCCTTCTTTTCATTTAACGGGACATTTGCTGCCAGTTACCTGTAATTATCTTCGTATCCAAACTGAAAACCGACGGTCTGGCCTGAGAATTTCATCAAAGGATCGCACTGAAACATAAAGATCCAACAAACACGTTAGGACCTTTTTGATGGAACATGGTACAAATGAAATGACACACAAACTGTGCAACAATGTGTAAAAACATACGGAATGAGCCAAATTTGGCTAATTACAACAAATCTCAAATCTGTTGGGGAGGGGGAGGAGTTAGACCCTTCAACCCCTTTCTGCATCTGCTGCTGGGTCCTTCCATGTTGACAATTTTTCTTGGGATTAAGCCAAGAATGCCTTGAAGGCATTAGTTCTGCAAAATGTGTATACTTTACCTCCAAGTAAAGCATCTCCACATTCCTATCAAGAGGGACCTAAAAGACACTTGTGCGGCGCAAGCCGTGTTTGCACAGGATTTTTCCCCAGAATTTTACCGAGTCGATGGTCAAGATGGCCAACTGGAGCATTATTTGGTGTGCTTATTTCATTATGGGGTGTGAGAATTCAGCTTCTTAGCTGGTTCCAACTTTTTTTTGTTTAAATGTTTAGCTTGAATTTCAGCTTTTTTGTACATCTGGTCTGTACAAAGGTATGGGAACCTTTCACATTTCAGCTTTTTGCCAGCTGTTTTCAGCTTTAATCTTAAATGGCCACTCACAGCCCTGTTCATTGGACAGCTGCCAGCAATGTGCATCTACCAAAACTGAAGCACAGACAACTGGGCCAGGCAAAACGAACACACTAAAAGTGGGATGACTTGGGAACTTTTACACAGACACACACCGCCCCAGCTGTACTCGCAGTCTCTTGAGGTCACTAATATTGAGAATCCTTAGGGGAGCAGCCACACATGTATGAAAGAATGAAATCATGAAATTTAAGGATGCCTTACCTTGCCACACATCTCATAGTTGATGAGAAGTCGAGGGGTTGTTTCTGGTACTCTGAGGAATTGTAATGATGTCCTGGTGTTATTCATTTGACATAACTCAAACCATTTTGAGGCAATATGGGTCAGATGACAGTAGTTTATACTCATTTGACAATTGACCAGTGCTTCATCTTCTAATTGAGTGTGCCAGGAGTTTTGGAAGGCACTTTGAGATTTCAAAGTTTCTGGAAGCGGACCAACTTGAAAACACTGTCCCCAGAAGTTGTTTGACTGGCATTTCCGAATGACCAGTGTCCCCTATGCACTAGTAAAAACTATTGTACAGATTTTGAGCATGCTTCTCACTAATTCTCGGTACCAACAGGTCACGAAAGTCACAAGCAATGCGCTGGGCTAAAAACTTGTGGAGTATGAACAGTGGCGTATCCAAGTTGTGATTCAGAGGACAGATTGAGTTTGTTTGTAACAATAAATGCTCAACTTGTTTCATCTGTAAGAGGTCATTTACTTACCATTCCCCTTATAAAAGGTGGTAGCCACAACCAATTTTTTTTTTTTTGGGGGGGGAACCTTGTTTGGGTGGGGGCCAAAAATGTGAAAAATTCTTCATGAAGCCTTTATGAGAGGTGAGATTACATTTAGGGGCTTTTTTGTAGGCTTTAGGCAAAAAATGCCCCCCATCCCAAAAATGGCCTTGTTTCTGCTCCGGTTTTTTGCCCATAGTTGACCCCATTGATCTGCTCTTGAAAATGCAAACACTTTCAAATACTTAAAAGAAACTTGGCAACATGCATAAGTACCCCCCCCCAGACATGCCACGGGTATTGGGCCCTAAAGGCCCATTTACACACACGTGCAGTAACAGAATTCTACACGGTGGAAAATATAGAGCACATGATGTTCTATTCTTTGTTTGCATTCAGAGTGGACAAATTGCACGGTTGCTCAATACATCGCTGCATTTAGAAACCAGAGAGATTTTTCCAAAGATAACACGCTGCATTTAGAAACCAGAGTGATTTTTTCAAAGATACCATGCTAAGACTGCATGTTCTGGCCAATCAGTGTTCTCACTATTAAAGTATGATGTCATTTTGGCGGAATATTTGACATGAATGCCAAACAGGTTTCTATTCGTTAGTGGACATGTCGTACGGCATTACCGCTTTCTATTACCACGTTCTCTTACAGCTGACATATGCAAATTGGTCCTTAGAATACAAGTTGAGTAAATGATGACCATTTTCCAAATCTTGGCTTCATACATGGCTGTTTTTTCATTTCAGGCTCTCAAATTATTTTTCAAGCCTTTTTTTCTCACCCCCAACTTTTAGCCGGAGATGGAATAACGGTTTGTTTACAAGTTTCTGTAGTGTTAGTAGCATCCAAGCAAAAGGTGTACATAGGCTGAATTCTTTACGTGTCTATAAGTGAAGAAAATGGCTGCACCATAAGAGTTGTTCCCATGACGATCAGTAAGTCACATTTTGGAAAGTCCTGTCATGAAAAAAAAAAGGAAAATTCAAGTTAAGACGCCTAGAATCAGGCACAGCAAAGTAACTGAGAAACGGAAAAAGAAGTCAGGCTGGTTAAAAAAACTTGTAGCTGCGAAAATAAGTTTATGATTTGCACAAGTATGAGATCAGTTATTTTTAAAGAGTTTCATCCAGAATTTCATGCTGTTATGAGACGTCCTATGCATGAGTGTTGCTGGAAGTTTTTTCTAGGGGGGGGGCAAAACTTGAAAAGCACTAACCGACAATGAAATGACAAACCATAAACAGTGGAAGGGGGTTAGTTTTAGTGTTTTCTTCAGCAAATTGTTGAATTTCATCCCCTTTCATCACATTGTAAATGTTCAAATTTTCCCCCTTTTTTGGGGGGGGGAGCACTCTTCCCCCCTTCCCCTATGATGCCCATGGTCCTATGATTAATTTGGAATGGGCCGACAGCCTTGTACCTCCTTGGGTAGATCATGCCAACTGTTAATTGGACCCTCTCCGAAGAATGCAATGTCTGGTTTGATGAGGCCACCGCACTGGTCACAATTTGGGATCCTCTCGGCAAAAATCTCCCCTGGTTTATGAAAAAGAAAGAAAATTGTTGTCACACTGCCTGGATGCTACAAACATTCACTGCACGGCCAAATGGGCCCTGGTGGTTAAGGTTCATTAAACTGCCCATATATTTCCTAATATGGAGGAGTCCAATGGATACTCAAGTCAGCCTTCTCCTGAAGCAATTAGCATCACAGTGATTAGCATGAATAGATTCATCTGCATATAAACATCAATCTATCAAACACTTTAAGCTGCATGACATGCAAATACATATCACCGTATTACGCAAGTGGACTTGTAAATGTGTTGTCATAGTTCTGTATGCAGTAGGAGATGGCATCCAAAATCATTCCCACCCTTGAATGATTGTAGCATATAACGCTACACAACATTGTCTTTGAGTACAAGTGACAATGGGCAGAGACTGACCTTTGACCCAATCTGGAGAATGCTCCTTTCGACAGTTCTCCTCAATGCAGTGAGCGGTGCTGAAGCTCCCATGAACTTCAACGAGCAACTCCTCTGGCACTCCAGCAAGCTTGTTTAGCACGTCAACATTCTGATCAATTTAAAAGAAATGCTACTGGTTTTAAAAAAGGAGAAGGAACTGATTTATTGATCCTGCCGTGACTGTTGGAGCCAAGGATGGCATTAATCTTTTACAGGTAGTTCTTTTCCTTCCATTCATTCACTGGGATCTTGTTTTTTTTCACTAAAAATGTCACTGACAGTCACACCAATGCTAAATTAAAAAAAAACCTGCATCAGGGAGGTGTGAATGTAATGAAGTGTGAGAACCCAACAAGTATATATTTTTCAATATTGCATGGGTTCAAACTGTTCGTTTTAATGTCACCTGCATCAAAAAACTTACATTTATCCCAGATGCGAAATTCTACCAACACACCATATCACTGAATTACAACAAAACTTGCCAGAAATAAGTGGCAAAGTCCTTGAAATCTTCTTTATGTTATTTTTGTAAAGTAACTCACTTGAGTGTAATCCCTAAGTAGTAGTTTCTTATCACTCATTAGTCGGATGAAGTAATGGCACGGTGTTGGTTTGAACTGACCAGGGTAAAGTGCCCTAGCCAAAGTTAGGAACGGCTCTGGTCTCTCCTGCATATATATGAAATAATGCCACTCATTCATAATCCACATTGTAAACTAATTTACCCTGTCCAATCAATCTCCTCTCAACAGTTATATAAGTATGGGGGTGAGTGGAGTGTACAGTGCTGACATGCTTGCACTATAGTTATACAACTACTATGTGTCAATATTTCATGATTCGCCCCTACTTTGAAGTAGTTGTGTCTCAAAACTAAATAATCTCAGTGTTATGTAATCTCAGTGTTATCTAATCATTCTTTTCAACTTGCAGCAGGCCCCTGGGCTTGTTTTTTGTTGGTAGTTGTGATATTTTCCTCAAAGCAGCATTCAAAAAGCCACAGTTATACAAGCCTCTACATTATGTGTTGGCAACTTGAACACACTTGGGTAACAATAGAAAAGCAGGTTGTAGGAAGACCTGGTTGTTTGAAAGTGTAAGGGATTAAGACACGGACCCACTGAGATCTTGGTAAAGGGTAGATGTGTGTGTTCTTAGCCACGAGGCCATGCAAGCTACAGTAGGCTCATCTTCAGCCGTCTTTCCAGTGAGCCTGATCCAGCCACTTAGTCCCAGACTTATGACCAGTGTTTGGTTTCAATGAGCAATGTCACTTCAGAAAGCACATCGAAGAATAAATTCTAGCATCTGAAAGATTTTCAGAACTTTAAGTTTACCAGCCTATCAAGACCCATCATTATATGCCCTTAAAAAGTTGCCACGCACTGCTCCAGATCAAAATCACAAAGACAAAAGCTTAGAGATTAAACTTTTCAGAAACATATTTAAAGTTAATTTGATTGGCTTCCTACCTTGAAGTACCTGATCTCAAACATGAGATGAGGGCTGGGGAGTTGGTACTTCTGCAGGGAATTGTAAAGACCACTGCCTTCGCTTCTGAAGTCTGGAAGTCCTGCAGCTGATAAGACCAATTCATGTCTGCATGATTGCTATACCAAAGTGAAGGAAAGCTACCAATTGGTGATAGTTCTATGGGCAATTTCATGGGTTAATAAGGGCGGAGCAATAATTCATGAAAACAACTTACATGTTGAGATCCCAGCTCCACTCATGAAAATGACATTTTTACCTAAAAATACAAAAAATAAACCTGTGTAATAGCTCCCAGGTGCCACTCTCTTTAGGAAGTGTTAAGGGTTTAGCATGAGGTCAAACCAAAATATGGTTGGGTTTCCAATTAAATTAAAAGAAATCAGTGTTGATAGCTAGGTTAAGAAAATTTTTTTAAAAAAGGCTCCTGTTTAGTAAAACGAATTAGATCGAGGTTAAGGTAAAATATGGTTTTTCTTTTGTTTGTGCACTCATTGCAACAGTTGAAGCAAGTATCAAATTGAATACTTTGCATGTTGAAACTGCATGCAAACAAAGTATATTCACTGATCTAGAAAGCAAGCCCTCTTTTTCTAGTTGACACAACTCAATTATAAAATCCAGAAGTTTGGAAAATGGACACAAAACAGAGAAAACTTAACCAAAAGACCCATTTAAAGACATTTCTGTACCCCACTACTAAGTACTCACACTTGTCACTCTTGATGTACCTGGCCATACCCTCTAGGCTGACCTCGTCAAGGACCTGTTTGGGTTTCTCCACAGTTTTCTCCATTGAGGATTTGTCATTATGATGTAGCAGTCGTTGAGTCAACGCTGTCAAGTCATCATCAGTCACTGTATGAATCATCACCACTGTGGTCATCATCATGAGCTCACTTTGAGTTTATAGTGAGCTTCCAAATTTATTGAGTTCTGCTTCATCACAATTTACACAACCTTTTGCCTCGAAATAAGAAAAAAATCTCAAGAGTTGTAATGAGTCATGAATTTTTGTGATTCAAGTTGAGTCCTTTTAATATAGTGACTCGAGTCAAGTCAAAAAGTTGTGTCAAATCAAGTGTTTTGTAGTTGAAGTCAATTCGAGTCACTAATATTTGAACATACATGTACATGTAAAACTATAAATAAAACAAAACAGAAAATCGATTATTTTTGGCATTTTTAAAAAAGAATCTTGACAGTTCTTTTACTTTAGAGTTGGAGACTGATACTTCAGATCCCTATTTGACCTGATCCATGAACTGATGAAGGACCTACATGAAGTTCATCCCTCAGCAAGGCTTTTTGTTGTAGTTTGGCAGTATTATACTCGAAAAGTGTCTGTCCTTGGAGGTTGACATAAGTGAAAAAGTATAATGAAAAAAAATGCTTCAAAAGACAAGTGTGTTTTTCGAATGGTTAGGATGCAAACTTTCAACTTTTACTTAGATAACCTTTATAGGATGCCACTAATTTCCCCTGCAGTGAACTATTCCTGTATTATCCATTTGGAAGCAATACAACATCTTTAAAAAAGGTCGTATTTACCTGTAAAATAATATTGAGGTATTCCTGCACTTAGAAATTACACTCCAGATCTTCCAGACCAGCCTCATAGGGTTTGTGCATGTGCAAAGGGTGTCAAGTGGTGTCTGTGTATGGAATTCTTTCCTTGTTTCTCATTTTTCAACAAAAAAAATTGTCTTCTTTTTGGGAGTGGTATGGCCCCTATAATGCCCCCCTCCCCGCACCCTTGGTTCACTTCTGTAGGCATCATAGGATCAACAAGCACTGCTTTTGGGGGACTCCTCTCCACCCTTATGTGGAAATAAAGTGAAGTGAAGTAATTAAGTAAGTAGAACTAGAAGGGTCCTAAAAGTACGAATTGCCTGTTCTTTCTCTATGCTTAGCCCAGCCACTAAAGCATGCAAAGACAACCTCACATACGGATCCACGTCAACCAACCATATAGCAAGGACAGAACCACCTACATGTAGCCACGTACGCTTGCTTCTGCAAACCGGAAGGCTAAGCAAAGCATACGCATATACGAAGGGTGTCTTTCGCCGTGTAGAAATTCGCGCGGTCAGATATCCGGGAACTTCTGTACATGATTGAATAGCTAGCACGAGGGCTGGGGTAAATTTTCCCCTTTGCCGTGTTAAAAGTCTATAGTGACGTCACGCCGAATACTTACAAACAGCCTTGTCAACTTTCTGATTTCAAGCTAAATTTAGCAGGGTAAGTCTTGATTTTTCCAAATATCAAGTAGGCCAACATCTTTCCCGATAAAAACTGAAACAGGTTGTTCCTTACCAACATCACTCATGGTGTGGTAGGTCTATATTCAGTGTGCTGGGGAGTTGATTTACGGACAGCGGTCGCGTATGACACGGACAGGCCCAAGTGTTCAGGTCACAATGTCAGCTCTTCAACGTTCCCTTGTCCATTGGTCAGTCATGTAGAGCTATATATGCAATCACACGTATGAAGCCAAACCACGGTTCACAACCATGCACACTGCATGACACCCAGATGCTCAATCAACCATAAAGCTTCACGTGTGAAATTAGGCTCCTTGATGGTGTTTTTATTGTTGATATAACGATGAACGGCTGCAACGCAAGTCTAATACACATTGGGCATGCGCAATACAAACACAACCAAACTTCAAACGTACAGAGGGATTTCATATTAGCGCCGTTTGCGCATACCTGCATCGAAACCGAAGCTCTCCAGTTGAACTTGCACGCGCGCGCCCGCGGAGTCCACACAGTACATGGAGTATCCGGTGCGTAAGTGTGACGCCACTTCATTTTAAACCACGCCCACTGCACAAGATACAGGACCACCCCAAGTACGTTAGTTCGCGGTCAATTGTTATTTTTTCTTTTGATTTTACGTGTCGACTCATCCTGAAAGACTTTTCCACACAAAACTGAATTTAACATACCTTTATGTATTTTGCGTCTTGACTCCTTACTTTCAATCGTCTGATCGTTCTAAGAATTGAAGCTGACACATACAGCCTCGTTTTCAAACGCGGAAGTGCGCAGATAGACGCTAAAAGCGTCGTATTGGGACCCCTCTATGGTTGCATATAAATCTCGTCAAATATTGGTGCCGGGACGGGTCCAAAGTTCAATGGTTGCTACGGTTGTAAATATAATCTCTTAATCCAATAAAAAATCAAGTTATGTTATATAAGTTAAAAGTAGTGGATAACTTCNAGTGCGTTAATGTGCATTGCGCAGGCGTATCGCTTGCTCAAATGGCGCCCATGCGATTCCAATGTTTTACGTGTATTCACAGTGAAGTTCACCATCTTGCGCCGCTACGCGGCGCTATACGATCTTTGGTCATGTCTATCTTACTTGTACCTGTGGTTTATCTACATGTATGTTATACACGCAAGTGTGTAGAATGGACAGGATGGTTTGCAAAAGAGATAGTTGAGCTTGTCAGTTTGGTTTGGTGTCAACATCATTTGTGATTGATTTCCTCATTGGGCATTCAGAAGAGATGATTCAAATTGATTTGTATTTCCCAGTATTAGAAGTCAGTATCAAAACTATTTTATTCTGGTCCCTTATAGACAGAATCAATTTATAAGAAAATAAGTTTGTGTAATAAAGTGTGGTTGGAGAATACGTGGGATTCAGTAAATAAGTGAAGAATTCAAATTTACATGTTCTGTCATGTTGAATTTTTTGAATATTCAAATATCACTTCTTGAATTCGAGTATTCAAATTAAAAAATCATAAAAAGGGAGAAATTTCTTTTGTTTTAAATGAGAAAAATACACTATGAAGATTTGTTTCAAACAGATTCAAACGAAAAAGGACAAAAATCTTACGATTCGAAAGTACCTTTCGTTAAAAATTTAAAAGCACTGAATAGACATTTTCAACGGAGCAAGAAGTATTGGTCATCCCTTAAATCTTCCTAAATTGTGGCTGGAGAAGCTCCTAGACATGAAAAACTATTATTGAATATTCGATTAGTGAGTTATTCAAAGTGACTCAGCCCAACTGCACATTATGTCAAGGAAACGTTCCGAGTCTATTTTCTGACTTAAACTTTTTCCCATTGTGGCACGAACATGTACCATAACCCCAAGTCTACAACTCTCTCTCTCTGTGAACCTTTCACCTGAGTCCACACCTGTTTTCCTTTTGTGCATAAGTTTTGGCTACATGAAACACTGACAGTATTCATCAGTGCTGGTACCGGTACATGCTCTTTTCCTCATGTGTCTTGGAGTCATCAATATACGTGTGCCATTGCAGTGAAACCTATGAGACTAAAACCACCACAGGACAGTAGTAGGGAAGGGACAGTTCTGGACCACACGCCCTTTTCCGCCGTTTTTAGCAAAAACCCCTGGGTAGTACATCGACTCAAAAAATCGGGGGAATCCCCTAAAAATCTGGAATTCCAGATTTTAACAATTTTCACTGGGTACCTCATCGACCCCAAAATCTGGCTCTAAAAATACAGGGTAAATATACACCTTCTGAGCCAAAATCTCTTTCACCCAAACGCACTGGGGATTTCCACTAACCTTTTGACCCCGGCTGTAAACAACTCGTGACTTGGCAATCACTCGCAAACAAGTCTCGACTTGCCCGATCTAAACTCGTGACTGGCACTCACTCGCAAA